GGCAAGGTGGCACGAATGTCAGTCATGCCCAGGACGGAATCCAAGATCGAGGTCGATTTCGACCTCAAGAAGAATTCCCATACCTTCTACTCGAACGAAGGAGGCGGGCGCTGCGCTTTGTCACGATTAGAGATACCACCCATCAATGGGCGGGTTGTGGTCAACATGCCGTCCAGCGGCATGGAAGTGGATGTCGATACAACTATAGAACTTATTCAGTTGGAGGCAAGCGCGGTGCGGAGTCTCCTGGGCGCTTTAACAAAACCTGAAGTTTCCCACTTGGTGTCAGATCTTAAGCAGAACGCCGAGATCTTGCAGCTGCATCTCGAAGAAGTTCTGGCCATCAATAAATCTTCACACCAAAAAGAAGCGCTTTCTTCAGAGCGTGGTCTTCTCTACAAGGCTCGTTTATCCATGGCAGGAACGAAAATTCATGCTACTGCTCCAGGTCTCAATGGTAAGGAATATTCGGCTGATATGGACTTGAACCTGGGAATGATACGCATGCGACTCGACAATGGATTGGATCAAGGGCGCCCGATGGAGTTCCCGGAATTTAATATCGACGCTTCGAATATCGTCTTTGATCTGAAGAAACGCGAAGCGTCTCAAAGTCGTTCGTTCTGCAGTATTGCTGTGGAAGCTAAACTTCAGGGAACGTCCGTGACACGTGAAGATGGTGAAACCAGGCGAGCATATCATCTGAACAGCAAGAAGTTTGACATTGAGCTCTTTTCCGAAACGGCCGCGCTAGTTGTTGACATTGCTAGCCATCTTCAGGATCGCATCAAGACGCTCGACTTATCTCACGAGGTCAAGCGACTGAGGAAGTTACGCCGTCGTGGTCATGCAGAGTTAACCGCTCAAGCCCCAGACATCCCAAAGATCAAGATCAGCGATGAGACAATTCCAAATGACTTATTCAGGGACATGTATTCATTGCATTTGAACAATATTCAGATCGGATGGAACATGTCCACCTTGCCGCAGCATAGATCAGGGCGCAAGCCTGATGATCTGGTTTTCAGTATCAAGCGGGTGGATCTGTCCAATAGCAGACCCAATGCCGCCAAGCTTCGAATTGAAGATATGCAATTACAGATGGTGCCGGCTTCTGGTGACCGGCGGAAGCGATCGCTTAACTCCGCGCTCATGCCTGAATTGGTGTTCAATGTGGCATATTCTTCAAACGAAACGGAGATTCTGCTGGCCCTCCAGGCCGCTGGAAAGTCGCTCGACGTGCGAGCAACATCTGACTTCATCCTCCCAGCCAGTATGATACGGGATTCAATCGCTTCTGCTGGCCAGGTTATACGTGACGCGGATTCTGTCTTGGTTGCGAAGCCAAACGTCGAAAGCAACAAACAGCGTCCTCTCTTTGGAAACAAACGTCTACGCTCCGTACTAGTAGACGTTGACTTTGCGGGAGCTATTCTGTCTCTTCAGAGCAAATCCACCGACGATCAACAGACATTGCTGACTGCGTCTTGGACGGGAAGTCGCCGGCCGGAAGCCAAGTATGGGCAGTACGTCCAAGGAGATGCAGCGACCACTGCAACACTCAGAGCCCCTGGGGTGGCGGTCAAAGTCCAATTTGAGGACAATGGCAAGGATGTGTCCGCATTGAACGCAGAATTAAAGATTGATGCCTCGACGAATGTCCTATACCCGTCGCTTGTTCCTGTAATAAAGCAGATGACCGCCGCCATCAAGGAGGTCATGGAGGGCCACGATAAGCCAAGGAAACCGCCCAGTGCCGCCATGTTACAGCCGCAGAAGCTAATGCAGGAAGCCCCGTTTGATACGAAAGATGCGGCCTCAATTCTTGGTCGTTGCAAGGTGAACGTCGGGATTTTGATTCGCAAACAGGAGTTTAGCCTTAGCTGTCAGCCCATCGCTAGAGTAGCGGCCACGGCAGGCTTCGACAGCGTCTACATAACTGTCAACACGGTGCAATCCGATGAGCAGGGAAGGTTCTTGGCGGTTCTGGTAGCTTTCAATTCCTTGCAGGCATCAGTCAAGCATGTGTACTCAAACGAGTCTACTGCGAGCTTTGACGTGAAGTCCATCGTCATGTCTCTCATGAATAGCAAACATCTGAGCAGTTCGAAGGGCATTTCGGCTGTGCTCCGAGTCAGTCCGATGCAAGTGATGCTTAACGCAAAGCAAGTTCAAGACCTCCTGCTCTTCCGTGAAATCTGGGTTCCCTCCAACGGAGAGACCAATGGCGGCAGGGCATTTCAAGCGGAGTCAAATGAGCCTCAGGCTTATATCGTTCAGCGTTACCAACAGGTAGCAGCAGCGCCAGCATTTCCGTGGAATAGTGCGGTTGCCATTGAGAAGCTTGAGATTCAACTTGATCTGGGGTCTACGCTTGGAAAGGCACAGTTCGCAGTCAACGATTTGTGGCTGTCATCGAGGAAGACATCTGATCGAGAACAATCACTCAGCATAGGTTTCAAGTCTACTGAGGTAGAAAGTAAAGGCCGCATGAGCGGGTCGGTCGAGCTTCAGACATTGAAGATTCGCACATCCATTCAATGGCCGGAGGAGAAGCCCAATGCGCATTCTGTTCCACTCATTCAGGCCTCCATCTCTTTCCAACAGCTACAAGCCAAGGTCTCTTTCGATTACCAACCATTCCTGGTCGCCAATATCTCAATTTTCGATTTCCTTATGTACAATGTCCGAGGCGCCAATGGTGCGCCTAAACAGCGGCTCTTCAGCATTCTAGAAGGAGATAAAGTGCAAGTATTCTGTACTAGCTTGACTGCGTCGCAATGTCTGGCGCTGATCCAAGGCTGGCAGCGGCTGGCCCAAGACAAACAAGCAGCGTACGAAGCATCACTGCGCGAAGTTGAGAGATACCTGCGCAGGAGAACATCGGTGGCTACGGAGAAAATGGAAACCCAAGCCAAGGAATTGGCCAAGAAAGCCAAAGACACCAACGCCGAGAAGGCGCCTATATCTCTCAACACTGGGGTGGTCGTGAGCATCACCGACGTCAATCTCGGTGTTTTCCCGAGCTCCTTCTTCGATAACCAGATATTCAAACTGGAGGCACACGATGCACAGGCACGATTCTACGTCTCGCTGAAGGAGGGCAAGATACACAGTGCGCTTGGGCTCACGCTGGGGCAGTTGCGTGTCGCTCTTTCGGCCATCAACCGTCCCACATCTACGGACATTGAGGATCTTCTAGTCAATGAGATCGTCAGTCGCGCCATAGGGTCTCGGGGGGAACGATCCTCAAGGTGCCTCGGCTTGTGGCTAGTATGGAGACTTGGCAGACCCCGGGCCATCCGCAGATAGAGTACATCTTCCGCAGTACTTTCGAAGGCAAGGTGGATGTCGGATGGAACTATTCGCGCATCAGTTTCATCCGGGACATGTGGGAACGCCATTCCCGTGCGTTGGCGTCCCGACTCGGCAAGCCGCTGCAGCCGTCGGCGGTTCGCATCACTCGAGGACCCGGACCGGAGAGAGATGGGGATAAGCAAGAGGAGAAGATTACAGCGGTGGTCAATGTACCCCAGTCAAAGTACACATATACGGCTTTGGAACCACCAGTGATCGAAACGCCCCAGCTACGGGATATGGGCGAGGCCACCCCACCGTTGGAGTGGATTGGGCTCCAACGGGACAAGCTGCCCAACATCACCCATCAGATCATTATTGTGACGTTGTTGGAGATTGCAAAAGAAGTGGAGGATGCATACGCGAAGATTTTGGGATCATCATGAGCATTGTTCCCTCTACATGGCCGTTAGTCTCTGTATCACACGTGGGCTGGTGTTTGACAACCACAGATCATACATCATCTCAGGCGGTTTAGAGTGGGTCATTCTACATGCTCTTCTCAGAGTTCTCGAGATTGATTTCAAGCCCTTGATAGTCTGCCTGCATTGTGCATAATGTCTAGTACTGTACATAGTCTAAATCAGCTTATCAATAATGAGTACATCGACCTGCATGAAGCTGCTACATTTGAGATGAACTGGGTGTGGTAAGCTACCTTTGTAAGGCAGGTAATTATTAAGCTATGAGCTCGTTAATTCCTAACTCCGCGTCTGATAAATTAAGCGGTGAGGTGGGGAAAGTGTTTGCTCACAACATCTCATTGGTTGCTGAGCGATCTGTTTCCTGAAAATTTTTCATGCTTTTCTTTCCGACGTCAATGGAGCTAACTATTTTCAGTAAGCGGGGTCATCTTTAGCTTGGACTTCGAAACGACTAGGTAACAGTAATTGACAGAGCAAGTGGGCTGATGAGGTGTGGTAAGGTAACTCTGATACAGTCACTGAAATAATCGTGATATCAGTGTCTTGAGCCCAACGCCACCCTTCAATGCCCTCTGCAAGAGGACAGAGTTTAGAGAAGCAAACGTCAAATATGGTAGCTAGCTCTGATGAAGCTTTAAAGCTATAGCTGGTTAGCTAGACGAGTCACAATGTGACTCAAACGAAGGGAAGAACCACGGTGGAAGAGCTCTGGCAACTCAGTTCATAGGTCATCCATAAGGGAAGGAATATACTGCGAGTCAACTGGTCAATCCCTCTAGCTCTGGTAACCTCTGGTCGGTCAATAAATGAGTACGGATTTGCCTTTGTCCATGGCTGGGTTGATGATTGCTAAGCTCTGATGATAATAATACTACATGGTACAGGGCAGTGATGACGGGCACATAGGTACCTAAGGTATCAACCTCCAGGGCTTTGTAGGCTGTAAGAAAAATCTGAGGGGCAATAGTAATAATAATGGCAGGGCAACAGTACGGGAAAGAAACGCACATCCCATATTTCAAAATCAGAGGGTAAAAAAAAGAGTTCTCTTGCACAAATAATATTGCAGCGTCCCCACCCGCCGTCCTTCCTCGCTTTCCCTCCCTCTTTTTCCCCTCTTCCCACCACCACCACACTTCTGCTTCCTTTTTCCCACTTCAGCCCGCTTCTTGAGCAGCGCACATAGGTCCTTTACGTCCTATTCAATTTCTGCTGTCAGGTCGAGCTAGTCCTCGATCCTGATCTCTGTGTGTCGTTTGTTCTTGCTTTTGACTTTGCCTTTTCTTTCCCTCTACCTTTTCACCTTATCTCACAACCCCGCCTCTACGGCTTAAAAAAGAAAAGAACCGTCAAAATGGTTAAGTAAGTCTTCACTCTTCCCTGGACGATCCTCGATCCTCGAGCAATGAAGACTATATTTGGGATGGGATCGAATAAAGATTGCTAACATGCTGTTTATAGCTTCACTATCGAAGAGGTTCGTTGATCCCCGCGCCGGGTTTGCCAAGCCTACTCTCTAGAGAGAGCAAGAAGAGCAGAACAGAGCTACGAGATGAAGGACAAACAAAACTGACTATGAGCAGATCCGGTCCCTCATGGACCGTCCGGCCAACATCCGGAACATGTCCGTCATTGCTCACGGTACGTGGCTTCGCGAAGAGGAAAAGAAGACAGGATTTTTCTTGATTACAAATACTAAGACATATTGGGATTATAGTCGATCACGGAAAGTCGACTCTGACCGACTCCATGATCCAGCGTGCCGGTATCATCTCGGCTGCTAAGGCCGGTGAGGGTCGTTACATGGACACTCGTCCCGATGAGCAGGACCGTGGTATTACCATCAAGTCGACTGCCATCTCTCTTTATGCCAAATTCCCCGATCCGGAGGATCTCAAGGAAATCCCCCAGAAGGTCGATGGTGCTGAGTTCTTGGTCAACTTGATCGATTCCCCCGGTCACGTTGACTTCTCCTCTGAGGTCACTGCCGCTCTCCGTGTCACTGACGGTGCCCTGGTCGTCGTTGACTGCGTTGAGGGTGTCTGTGTCCAGACCGAGACCGTCTTGCGTCAGGCCCTGACCGAGCGTATCAAGCCTGTCCTGATCATCAACAAGGTCGACCGTGCTCTGCTCGAACTTCAGGTTACCAAGGAGGATCTCTATCAGTCCTTCTCTCGTACCGTCGAGTCCGTTAACGTCATCATCTCCACCTACCACGACAAGGCTCTTGGTGATGTTCAGGTCTACCCCGACCGCGGTACCGTTGCTTTCGGTTCCGGTCTCCACGGATGGGCTTTCACCGTCCGCCAGTTCGCTGTCAAGTACGCCAAGAAGTTCGGTGTTGACCGTAAGAAGATGCTTGAGCGTCTCTGGGTGAGTGGAACCATTACTCCGGAAGCAAAAACATAAACCAGCTAGCTAACACGTTTCATAGGGTGACAACTACTTCAACCCCCAGACCAAGAAGTGGTCCAAGTCCGGTGAAGCCGAGCAGCGTGCTTTCAACATGTTCATCTTGGACCCCATCTTCAAGATCTTCGCTGCTGTCAACAACGACAAGACTGAGGAGATCCACAAGCTCGTTGAGAAGCTCGAGATCAAGCTTGCCAGCGACGAGAAGGACCTTAAGGGCAAGGCTCTGCTCAAGGTCATTATGCGCAAGTTCCTGCCCGCCGCTGATGCCATGTTGGAGATGATCTGTATCCACCTGCCCTCTCCCGTCACTGCCCAGAAGTACCGTGCCGAGACTCTGTACGAGGGTCCCATGGACGACGAGTGCGCTATTGGTATCCGTGACTGTGACCCCAAGGCTCCTCTCATGCTTTACGTCTCCAAGATGGTTCCCACCTCTGACAAGGGCCGTTTCTATGCCTTCGGTCGTGTCTTCGCCGGTACTGTCAAGTCCGGTCTTAAGGTCCGCATCCAGGGTCCTAACTACGTCCCTGGCAAGAAGGAGGATCTCTTCGTTAAGGCTATCCAGCGTACCATCCTGATGATGGGTCGTTTCGTTGAGCCCATCGAAGATGTTCCTGCTGGTAACATCGTTGGTCTGGTTGGTGTTGACCAGTTCCTGCTCAAGTCTGGTACCCTCACCACCTCCGAGACTGCCCACAACCTCAAGGTCATGAAGTTCTCCGTCTCTCCTGTCGTGCAGCGGGGTGTTGAGGTCAAGAACGCCCAGGATCTGCCCAAGCTGGTCGAAGGTCTCAAGCGTCTGTCCAAGTCTGACCCTTGTGTCCTGACTATGATCAACGAGTCTGGTCAGCACATTGTTGCCGGTGCCGGTGAGCTGCACCTTGAAATTTGCTTGAAGGATCTCGAGGAGGACCACGCCGGTGTCCCTCTCCGTATCTCCGACCCTGTCGTCTCCTACCGTGAGACCGTCGGCGCTGAGTCCAGCATGACCGCCCTGTCCAAGTCTCCCAACAAGCACAACCGTCTCTACGTCACTGCTCAGCCCCTCGGCGAGGAGGTCTCCCTCGCCATCGAGTCCGGCAAGATCAACCCCGTGACGATTTCAAGGCCCGTGCCCGTCTCCTCGCTGACGACTTCGGCTGGGATGTTACCGATGCCCGTAAGATTTGGTGCTTCGGTCCCGACACCACCGGTGCCAACTTGCTGGTTGACCAGACCAAGGCCGTCCAGTACCTCAACGAAATCAAGGACTCTTTCGTCTCTGGTTTCCAGTGGGCCACCCGTGAGGGTCCCATTGCTGAGGAGCCTATGCGCTCTATCCGCTTCAACGTCCTTGATGTGACTCTGCACGCTGATGCCATCCACCGTGGCGGTGGTCAGATCATCCCCACTGCTCGTCGTGTCTTGTACGCCGCTACCCTGCTTGCCGAGCCTAGTCTCCAGGAGCCCATCTTCAACGTCGAAATCCAGGTTCCTGAGCAGGCCATGGGTGGTATCTACGGTGTCCTCACCCGCCGTCGTGGTCACGTCTACAGCGAGGAGCAGCGTCCTGGTACTCCTCTGTTCAACATCAAGGCTTACCTGCCTGTCAACGAGTCCTTCGGTTTCAACGGCGATCTCCGCCAGGCCACCGGTGGTCAGGCCTTCCCCCAGTCTGTCTTCGACCACTGGTCTATTCTGCCTGGTGGTTCTCCTCTTGACCCCACTACCAAGCCTGGTCAGACCGTTGCTGAGATGCGTAAGCGCAAGGGTCTCAAGGAGCAGGTCCCTGGTTACGAAAACGTAAGTTTCTGGCACTCTCTGATCTCACTAAATACGTTGCTAACACCTTTCACAGTACTACGACAAGCTGTAAAAATGTTCCATACCCGCCTGATATGTTTTCAGTCAGTCATGGCTGTAAATATATGTTTATGAGATTGACGAACCCTCTACATTGTCTATGAAAAGACAAGGAAAATTCAATGAGCAAAATTTCAAAACGAGACACAACACGGGCTTGGTTCATGTCGTATGTGGATTTTCGAATACCTAGAGAAGTAGAATCCAGGTGTGCGCGTGCATTCGCTATGGCTTCCTATAATCTATTTGTTACGTTTATGACTGCGAGGGCTCTTTAAATAGTTTACTTGCTGTTCTTTGCTTGGACGTGAAAAATTTCATTCAGTAGTTCAAATTTCTCGGTGCTTTCACATCGTGGATTCTTCCGTAGATTCTATCCTGCCGTACCTCTTCACCAGGAGAGCCCTTGACTGTTGAGCTCACTCATGATTCTGTAGGGGAAGGCCTCGATACAGACCACGTGACTCCACCGTCATCCGCGTCGTTCGCGTTTCCCCAGCGTCGAGGCGCAAAGCTCTGTCCCACGCCCTCATCTTTCTTTCAACTCGCACGATGGCCTAAATTGACCTCTTGATATTGCTGGAGGTCTGATATCTTAACCCCTTCTATCCGATCGGAAACGTTCGACGACACCAATTAAGTTCGTTTTCGAAACGCACATCAGCTACATTCGCACTCGTGCTCGAAAATTGCCGGAGCCTCTTCTCAGTACCTGCTCGCATTCCTACAAGAGGTCGGCTTTTCGTTTCAGCTACGAACATGCAGCTCACCGAAGACGAGGCGACGGAGGTGAAGAAATGGGTGGTGAAAAAGCTGGAAGACATGTAGGTCGAACCCAGTCATAGCGCACATGCGTACCATTGCATAAATCTCCCTGGACTCGGAAATGCTGACCACGATTGGCATCATTTAATTACAGATCAGATGCTGATTCAGATGTGCTTGCGGACTACGTACTTGCGCTTATCCGGTCAGATGCTCCCGATGATGAGATCAGGAAGGCGTCGGTGGAAAATTTGGAGGACTTTTTGAGAGAGCGTAAGTGTTGTTCGTGTTTGGTGCATTCGACACAGAGCTCCCTTTGCTGAACTGTCGCTGCTTCTAGATACTACGCAATTTGTCGATGAGCTGTTCGCCACCTTTGGCCCGAAGCAGCAGGCTCCTCCGGCCGTCTCGCATCCTCAGACTCAGCCCCCCTCACTCATGATCTGCCACAGCCCGTGTCCCTCCCCCAGCAAGCGTTCCCGTACAACGTGGCCTCCGGTCCTTCTACAGGCACTTACGGAGCGCCAATGGGCGGCGCACCCCCGTCGCACACAGGACCTGACGGCTCGAATTTTAACCGGAAGCGTACCTACCACGAGGGCTTCCAGACAGAGCAGGAACGTGAAGATGTGCCTCATAATCGGACCTTCAAGACACCTCGTCGAGGGCGCGGAGGCGGCCGTGGCGACTGGATGGGGCGCGATGGTCGGGCACCCCAGGGTGCGCCTGCACAGTTCCCTCCTGCTGGCGCTGGGTTCCCAGTCATGCCACCATCATTCCCCGGGTTCGACCAGAATGACCCGATGGCAGCAATGATGGCCATACAGAGCATGGGGTTCCCTCAGATGCCTGGCATGCCTCCGATGCCGATGGCGGCTCAAGGTGGTGCTGGTCAGACCCAGGAGCAAATGATGGCCAAGTCATCTGAGCGGTGCCCGTTCTACGAGACGCAAGGCATCTGCTACCTCGGGGCGGCCTGTCCGTACCAGCATGATACCGGTCCTGGGGCAAAGGAAGACGGTAAGCGATTAGCATCTTGCTCTGAGCGCAGACTATTGCTAATCAGTGATCTTACAGAATATGATCCTAAATCAGCTTCCATTATGGTGGACTTGCAAAGACGAGACGGAGGCCCGATGCGCGGCAGTGACCGAGGTCGTGGCCGTGGCCGCGGTGGCGATAGAGGCGGCTTTGGAGGCCGAGGACGTCGGTCTGAGTTTTCTGCCGCTGGTCCCAGCGACGATCCCTCAATGAAGACGATCGTTGTAGAACAAATCCCTGATGACAAGCTCGACGAGGCAACGGTGCGGGAGTTCTTTGCCCAATACGGCGAGATCGTTGAGATCTCGTTACAACCGCACAGGAAACTGGCCTTGATCACGTACGACAGCCACGCAGCAGCCAAGCGGGCATGGTCCAGTCCTAAGGTCATCTTTGACAATCGCTTCGTCAAGGTTTACTGGCATAAGCCCAAAGCTGAGAGAAACCATGACCAACGGCCGGCGGGAGACGCAATGGACGAAAGCCCCGTCTTCGATCCTCAGGAATTCCAAAGACAGCAGGAGGAAGCGCAGAAGGCGTACGAGGAGAAAATGCGCAAGCGAAAGGAGACCGATGAGGCCAAACAGAAACTGGAGAAACAGCGAGAAGAACTCCTCAAGAAGCAGCAGGAGGAGAAGGAGCGGCTCTTACGGAAGCTCGGCGCCAGCGCTACAAGCAACGGCACGACTCACGATGGCGAAGCTCGTCAGTCCCCCGCCGACGAAAATGCAAGCGAGCAGACGAAGCAGCTCCGCGCGCAGCTGGCAGCTCTCGAGGCCGAAGCCAAGACCCTTGGAATCGACCCCAACGCTTCGGAAGCAGGCGCGTCACCGTTCTCCTACCGTGGTCGGGGACGAGGAGTTGCAGGCTATCGGGGCGGCTTCGCTCCACGTGCTCGCGGGTACGCTCCTCCATTCCGTGGAAGTTTCCGTGGGCGAGGTGCTGCCCGTGGCCGCGGCGGTGTTCTCCGGCTTGACAACCGGCCCAAGCGAATCGCTGTGTCTGGTGTGGAATTGAATACGGAAAAGGATGAAGCCCTGAGACAGTTCCTCATTGTAAGTATTTCCCCTTTTTTTTCAGTTTACCAGCGTCGGATAATTACTAACAACTGCCTTTCCAGGGCGTCGGCGAGTACGAGTCCATCGAACCTCACCCTGAACAGCCAAGCACTGTCGTCGTGGCCTTCAAGGAGCGCTACCAGGCCGAGAAATTCATGCGCGGGCCGTGGAACATCCCATCCGTTGGAGAGGTCCAGCTCAGCTGGGTCCCCAACCCTCCCGTCAGTGCTACTACGCCTGCTCAGATCTCGGGTCCTGGCTCGGATACTAAGCCGGCTTCGGACGAAGATACGGTCATGGAGTCTACGGCGGGCTCGTTGCAACCTGCGGACCAGCTCAACGCTCGCAAGGATGGAAACCACGACGTTGATTACGATGTTGCGGAGATGGATGACACCTGGGGTGCGGAATAGACGGCCATTGACACTTTTGAGCATCATGTATGGATATCATGGTTGGCGTTATTCTGTGATTTTAAAAAAGGAAGTTAGATCTTTGCTTATTTCTGCAGAGAGAACCATGTCTATCCCAGTGTCATCAGACCTGCGTTCAGGTGTATTTACAGCCTTGAACACTGCACATTGTCAAGAGTTCCACTAAAACGGCCATGGTGTGCCTTGCCAGGCCTCAATGTAAATTCTGAGGAATCAGTTCCACTAGATATCCATCCTTGCAACGAGTGAGCTTCAAATATCACAATACATTGCTCGATTGCTTAAAGGGTAATGAGCTTACCGGATCAGCGACATAAGCAATCTGATTGAAGAGCTTCTGATAATTCGGATGAATCTCGCCCACACCGACTCCCCTTTCCTCTTCCCACGAACTCAACGGCACACCCTCTCGCGAACTATTACCCAGCTCCTTGATGACTGGGACCCCTTCCTTCCTAAGCCTCTCTAATGTGCCCGCAACATCCGGGACCGTAAACCCTAAGTGTCCGAAGCCGAGATGCGGCGGCGTATTGCCAGTGGACATGTTGAAGCCGCCCTCGGTGTCTGCTTTTTCTGTCCCGTGGACATGGTACAGTTCCAGCAATCCTGGGGTTTGCGTGAGAACCGGAGGGTTGGCGACCCGGGCAGACCAGGAGGGCAGGTCTGCTCGGTCTGCCGATGTGGGAGGGTAGCCTAGGTAGTATAGTGTGAAAGGGCCGGCATTCATGGTGAAGACTGTGCGCATGCCCATGAGGTTGATGTAGAAGTGGAGCGAGCGCTGCGGGTCGCGGACGCGGAGCATGAAGTGATTCAGTTTGTAGCCAGCCGTGGGGCTGTTTTCCGGGAGCGGGGATCATTGTTGTGGCCGCCGGGGAGAAAGACGCCTGGATCAAAGGGAGAAGAGGAGGATGTTGATGCTGATGAGTTTGAGGAGTTTGTGCCTTGGTCTGCACTCATCTTGGTTGCTGGAATGGTATTGCAGGGCGTTTAGCCCTTATCCAGGTGAGGAGAAATGGGAGTATTCTGAAATGCGGGGTGATAAACGAAAGACCAGATAATACGGGCTATGATTATGCCGGACAGATAAAATGCACAGTAGGAAGACTTCAATTCTGAAGATCATGAGATTGTTGACAGATGGATATATTCAAGAAAGTTAGTTCGAACAAAGCAGCGTGGGCCAGCGCTGGAATATCGCAGTTGGAGGTTGCTGGCCTCGTTGCGCCAATGGCGATGATGCTGCATACCAATCACAAATGTGTCCAAAGCACCCGCAATGGGCGATAACTGTGATGATTTGACGACCTGCAAAGCATAATGTCATAATGCAGCTTCTTGCATGGAACCGAATTCCGCTCATATCAAAGCCAAAAACTCCAAGGAAGCTGCCAGGATATTGTACAGCCTTAAGCGTTCCTGCCTCTTGAGTATTTGAGATCTAGCAAGTAAGCGCCTAAGAGATGGCTTGCCCCTGATGAACTTGCCACGGCCCCATCAAATTCTCAATAGATGGCCGAAGTTGAGATATAGCGGACTTGTATGATTATGCAACATTGTAAGGCCAAAAATTCGCAATGGAAATGCTCCAAAATTATGCCATGCAAAACAGAATAGTGAAGGATTCAAGGGAGCACTGAGAAAGGAAAGTAGTGAAAAAAAATCGTGAAAGAACCTTCCATTCTGAGACCCATCAAGAATGGGACAAAGGTCTCCTCAGTCGGAAAGATCAACGGAGGATATGCGAACACTCAACCCACGAAATCAACGGTATATAGGTTTCCTTTCGTTATCGCTGTCGCTATCTTCCATCTGGTCAAGCATGCGGTCAATCTCGTCCCCCGCTTGCGCTTCCAAGTAGCGAGCTTGACCTGCCCGACGATGATCTTCCCCAGCTGCCTGAGAGTCTTGCAATTGACTCCCGCTGGTGCTCGATTCTGTACTTAGTGATGTTTGGCTGATGTGCGAAGTACTTTGCTGTCTCTGGGAACTGGGGGGTAAGCTGAATTACCAGGACTGGACATGAACAGTAGGGTTTCAATGGCGTCTTGTTCCATTGATGCATTTTGCGAATGCGTTGACTGCCTCGACAGGCCGTTATACGGCGTCGATGTTGGCTGAGATAACGATTGTAGGGGAGGCGTTCCCGGAACGAGAAGCTTCTGTGAACCATCAGTAGCTCCATGCTGAGAACGATGCTTCCTGTCATCAAATGATGAGATGTAGCGTGAAGCTTCTGAAGCTTCAAGTGTTTGATTTGGATTCGGCCGCCTGCGGCGGGAGCTGCTACTACCACTTGGAACAATATCTGCGGGAGGTGCGAGTCTCGGTGTTGCCGACATTCTTTTAGATGAGAATGATGATCCGGGAGATTTTTTTGATCGGGAAACAGATGATAGATCGTCTGACCGCGCTGCAGGTGAGAGCCGTGCGTTCGCAGGGAAGAGATTGGACTGGACAGGCATATCTGGCGCGGAGACTGGCGAACCGTTGGGAGAATCCTTGTCTCGCCGGCGCGAACGATCAGCGTATGGTGGACTTTTGACAATGACTGGTGGAGTGGAGGGGCTTTCTTGTAGTAAACCCAACGGCAGTTTCCCCTGCGCGTCGAGAGATTGCCTGCTTTTCTCTATCTTGGCTGCGGCGTAAGACAAACGAGTACGAAGGTGAACGGACAACTGAGTCTATGATATCAGCACGAGCAGGACAACGCAGAATATTGCATTACAAGGCCAATTTACCGCAGCGATCTTACTTCCACGCGAGCGCCAGCCGATACTCTCAGCTGGATGCCTCTCCGCGCTAATCGTTCCGGGGCTAGGAGGTGCTACTGATGTGTTCGAGAGCTTAATTTCACCCGTTGCGGTCCTTTTGTGACTGCGGGCTAACTGAGGCGAGCGCTGAGTCCCTGAACTTGATGCAACATCATGTTCTTGCTCACTGGAAAGATTATGCGAGGAAAAGCCTCGAGTCAAGTTATTCCCTTGCGAGCTCAATGAGGGCTGCGACAGTGCAGTGCTTCCTCCGGGGAAAGTCCCCACTTCAGGCAATTGACCCCTGGATGCATGAGAAGAATCGAGATTGCTTCCCGACCAGACCGGCTCTCCCCGAGCCACTGGGGACTGCGGTGTCAGAGCCGGAGGGGGATTTGATGTTTGCCTAGCAACTTCGTGAGCTTTGTCGGGAACTATGTCGCTTTCGGAGACAGAGTGATTGTCCTCGCCAGCAGCAGATAAGCCGCCATTTGGACAGGTCTGAAGCGCCGAAGAAGGCTCAGTAAACGGCACGTCAACATGCGACCCGCTCATAGCGACCAAGCGGTAGCTAACAACGGGCTTGTCTGAGCGGTAACCTCCAATGACCCCAACCCCGACAAGACTTGCCTTGCAAGTCTTAATTTCGAGCCCAGACGAGAATCCAATGTCGGCAATCCGTCAAGAAGGGTTCTGCGACAGACAGACGATTTTCCAGGACCAGCCAGGACGATCGCCAACTTCAAGTGGCACGATTGACGGTATCACCGCCCCGCGATGTGGGAAGACAAGATGGAGAGCGATTGGCTCGAACAAGTCTACGAGCCGAAGAGCTTCTTAAATTCGCTGCAAGGAGGTACTCCTGTAGCCTGCAGCTCTACTCGATACACGCGCAAGGCGTAATTGCGAAATGCGACGGTGCAAGCGGCGACCCCGGCGACGGGATCAACCACTCGATGATTCAACTGTCAACAACTTCCGTCCCCACACTGCTTCACGTCCCGATAATGGACGGATAGTTAGAAGTCTGTCAACAGTCTAGGGAAAATGATGCCGGAAGGCATATGGTATATATGTCCTTCACAGATAAGATTGAAAAGTAACAATTGACGCTTACTCTTCCTTGGTCATGGAATTGACTTGGGGATCATCGAGAGGACGCGTTTCGCGCCACGATCACGTGCCGCTTTTCGACTCTAGTGCCTTTTCAGATAGAAGCAATAGGCTGAATGCGGTAACATCAGAAGATCTACTGTATATTGACTGATATATATTTATATATAACAGACATCTGAGGTATTTAGAAGAACAGATATCCTGATCAGAAGGTTGAATCAAACAACGCCATCCACAATGCAATATGTACGTGGATACTGCATGGACAGTACCACTTAACAGGCTTTTGACAACCGAACAAACCCATGGGATATTGTAAGACGAAGAGACATGGTAACAAAAGCAGAGCTGATATCACTTGCGCTTCTTGCCTCCTCCTCCACCTTCTTCATCCTGGTTCTTCCGCTTCCTCCCTTCCCGTCGCCAATATTCGTCACGCTCCCGCTTCTCTCGCTCCGCTTTCTTTTCAAGACTTTCCGCGACCTTGGCGCGGTACACCTTACGACGCTCCTCTTGCTTCGCGGCTCGTTTGGCCTGCTTCTCATTCCGTAGAGTTGTGAGTTTCTGCATGAGGTCTCGCGCCTTCTTCTCCTCTCCGCCAAGTACCACCGCGCGTTTCTGCATGTAGGTCTTGTCCTTATGTGGCTTCATCCGGGTGATCTGGGATTTGAAGGGGAGGTCTGCGGCCAGCTGCCGTGGCACACGGAGAGGGTTGAAATGACGAGTAGGCCGCTCGATCGGGCGATAGGCTGAGTCTTTGTTCTGCGGAGTTGGGATACCCTTCTCCCGACGCACCTCACCGGTCAAACGCATACCCAGCCAACCGCTATCGCCCTTACCTTCCTCGTCCAAATCGAGCAGGTTCGTCACCGGGTTGTAGAAGCGGTGTGGCTTAATCGGGTACCATGCACGCAGGAAGACGATGTCGCTCATCAGGATCTTATCCTCGAAAGTGGCACGGAAGCATCCTTCGGGTTTGGCGAGGGCTCGCTTGATCTGACCACGGATGCCGGAGACTGTTCGAATCGAAGCGCCCTCGAACTTGGCAATTTCAATCGACGAGTTGAACATGTCTTTGATGAAGGCGGTGTTCTTGAAGATCTTGTAAGGCACGCCGGTAAGCTTCAACTTCTTGACGATCTCCGTGTGTTCGTCCACACTCAAGACCACACCGGTGGCCGCAATGCGGAAGCCTGGCGTCTTGTTCGAGAGGGACTGTACACAGCTGAAACCTGTGTTCGGCGCGACGAGCGGCCCGTAGAAGGTAGCAAAGCAATGCATGTGCTCGGGAGTGTATTTAAGCATGCGGTTTCGTGTCCGATTGTCGGATGTACTGTAGATGGGCAGGGTTTGGAAGCGGCGCCAACCCAGGGAGAAAATCAGAGGATCATTGGTCTTCAAGATCTTTTTGTGCCAACGGTGCCGCTTGATTCGGACCTGCACGTAACCAAATCGATCTTCGGTCGGGGCCAGACCGCCAACAATGACTGGGAATCTAGGGTTGAACTTCGTAGCAAATTCGCAGGGCACTTTCTCGAGGACTATCCGGGCATAGGTTCCAGCTCTGAAGCCTTCCGCTCTGGCCCTCGAGGCAGGGTCAAGAGTTTCAAATTCAGCGCGGTTGATGTCCTGCTGCTTTTGCAGCTTTGCCTTTTGCAGCTCGTACCATTGGTCCTCGCCGAATTCTTCTTCGCCTGCACCTCCCTGTCGCGCATTGTCTTTCGAGTTGGCAAAACCTTCGCGGTCTTCTTCCTCGAATCGCAGTCGAAGTTCTTCTTTCTTCTTCGCGTTGCGTTCACGCTCGGCCTCTAGATCCACTGGACCTTCCTCCTTCTTAGGCTCCTCTTCGTCTTCGTTGTCGGAGAGTCCATTGAACACCTCGCCGGTCTCGAGATCCTCAAAAGCGCCGTCTCCCTCGTCGTCTTCGTCAAAAGCATCATCGAGATCATCGTCGTCCACGTCGTCATCATCGTCATCCCCACCAGAGAGTTTAGCGGTAGCGAAACGACTCCGCAGAGCCTCGATCATATCACTGTCTTGCCATTTTTGTTCCAGTTTCTCATAATCATATTCAGGAACAGCACGATAATCCGATTGTTCTTCCTTCTCCGTGTTGGTCTTCTTGAAGAAATCGTCTTCATCCTCCTGCTGCTCCTCAGCTTCGGAATCTTCTTCCTCATCGTCTTCGCCCCGCCATCTCTTCACCACATCTGCTGGGGCAATAGACTCGTCGTACATCATCCGTGAAAGGTCAGCAACACGGAACTTTGGTCGTTTGCCATTAAGGGCCTTCGCATTGGCAATCATGTTCTCTTTCCAACGAAGCGCGCCGTCGTCATCCTCCTCCACGTCGTCCTCGTCAACGTCGCTTTCGAGCTCTTGATCCTCAACAGACGAAATGGAACCCAGGTCCGAATCACTGTCCGCAAAGGCAAGATCCCCCTCTTCACGATGGGCACTGCCATTCTGCTTTTGTTTGAAGTTCTCTTCAAAGTCTGGCGGGGCAGAGACATCAAGATCACCATCCTCTTCGGCGCTGAGATCATCGCCTTCTCCATCCTCATCTATTTCTTCGTCTTCTCCACTTCCGAACCCTTCATCCTCATCCGACAGCTCTTGTTGGCCGTTCTCTCCTTCCATAACTCTAACTTTTCTTCTCTCTTTTCTGCCAACATTGTCGTCATCATCTTCCGCCTTTTCTAAAACCTCACCACCGCTGAAGAGACGGACACCACCCTCTGCCTCACCGAGCAATTTGCGCTCGCCCTGCAAACCGACAACCAGCTGCTCTCCCAAGCCGCGATCTTGATTGTCATCATCTTCACCTCGTTCGAAATTCGATGTCTTGACGTCAATGTAAACGGCATCCTTATCGACCAAAACACCACCGACATCCGACATGGGAGCGAACAAGAGTTTTTGCTTCTCGCCTAGTCTGCGTTTGCTTGACCTGCCAGATGTCTTGGCAAGCTGCTGGTCCATGTATGGCGTCGGACACGGGTCTGGGAGGGCTTCAATGCCGGCAACTGTCAAGTCACCGACACCAGGAACGTGGACTCGTGCGCCTTGTGCGGGAAAGTTCGTTCCTCTCAGATATCCGTACAGCGCGACGGTCCGGTCGCACTTGGGGTTCTCCTCAATCTGGGTTGGAGGTGTGATATCTAGAAATCGATCTGCAAGTGCGTAAGGGTGAGAGTTTCGCCAAACCAACGGCCGAGGATTCTTCATGACGGACAGGAAGCGGGAGAGATTATGAATTTCGCGGTCGGGATAGCGGCCGTTCACCACGCCAGAGAGGTAGAAAAGCTTTGCGCCGTTGTAGAGTTCACTCCAGAACCGGTGCTTCAATCGTTTTTTCGCCGCCCGAAGGGTGCTTTGCTTCTTGAAAAGATCCAGGTGCGTCAAAATGCCGAACACATTTCCAGGCATACCACTTGAGGCTAAGACATTGAGGAACTCCATGGTCTCCATCTCGAACCCATAATTGCCATCGATCATCAGGAGAACAATATCCGCGATCTTGGAAATATCGATCATGCTAGCGAGAGAGTCGGAAGGACATTCGATAATCGTGAGCCGTCGGCGTTTGGCCGTCACCACCGTCAATGGCCCTTTGGGTGTACTAAGTGTCTGTTTTGTATAACGACGAATCAAGGACTTAATAAGAGTGGTTTTGCCAACCTGCCAAAGTAAACGATTGTCAGAGCTATCTTCTCAAACTTCTTTGGGATGGTCGTCCCGGTCAAGCGGAATAACTTACACCTGGAGGTCCAACAACCGCAACGACGAGCGGGGGAGCCTCTTCGGGCAGACGATCCACCAAGGGTACATGTAGCCTCTTTTCTTTGATCTAGATTGGTATAGGAATCAGCGAACAAGTTCGGCGGAGATGAGATGAGGGTGCGAGGAAGAATGCGTACATCGTGGGACCGCGCAGCCTGTCTGCCACCCTTTCCAGGATTCGAGAATGCGAATGCCTTTGGGTTAGCACCTGGAGAGCCAAGCATCATATCAGTATGTTGTTTTCACAGAGAAAATGTCAAGCCAAGATGTCGAGTCTGTATAACGAGCTTGTCAAGCACAGAACATACCGCTGTATTTCTTCTTCTCCTTTGGGGGCCGATGCGCCCTGTTCGCCTGATCCTCCATCTTGGTAATTCGAGGTCTATGACCTCTAAGGAAAAGTAATTTCCTGTTGATGAAAAGATTTCAGCGCAAAGCAAAGCAAAACCGACGATCTCTTCTTGATCTTCTATCAAGCTAGGCCCAAATTATTATTTCCTTTTGCCGGCGCGGAATTTCTCTCCGCCGATATCAATAAAAAAAAAAGTTTTTGCTTGAGAGTTGTGGCCTTATCGCCTGGGGCAGAAGAATCGTCACCTGACCAGCCATGTCGTTATCGGACCCACTCCGGTCCGGTCATGCCCGATAAGGGCGGTGCCCTAGGATCCGGCCCGGCATATCTGGAGAGATGGAGGAGTTCAGTATCCATCTCGTAACCAAAAAGCTGATAAACTTGGGGCAGTTCTGGGCTCTTGGGGTATGAGCGGGGCTTGAAACCATGTGGCATACGGCCGCCTCCGGAGTGAAGCCGAATTGGCTCCCCTATTAAAGCCAGAGGTTATCCGCTGGCGCAAACTGTCATTTGGCTTTGAATCAAGGTTATAGCAGCGTTTTTCAGCGAACACATCCATAACAATGTCTACACATCGTCGGCCTCCACCCGCGTACACTGCCGCTAAGGATTCAGCGGTGTATGGCACGTCCCAAGTCTATAGGAATATCTCGGAGAGTGCTTCCAGCGATTCTGGGAGGATTCTCGAGACATCATTCACTATCCGTCCCTGCTCTGGACAGGCTTGGGTGGTGCCAGCCGGGCATGTCTGTCGACTGACTACACCCAAAGGGCCGCAAGTGGGCGATCTCAACATTTGGAATGCGAATAATCCCCGAGAGCGACTTTGGGCTGCTCGCACGCGTCAAATCCACGCTTCTCATGTGTCGGTCGGTGACCGCCTCTGGTCAAACCTGCCATATCTACGGCCCCTCGTCACCATAACTGGAGACTCCCTGAATGGTGGACAATTGCATGAGGTTTTGGAAGTTAACGGCCAGCGGAAGGAGGGTGTTGGCTTTGGCACCTCACAATGGGGTGGACGTGTTCATGATTTGCTTGGAACCAGATGCGATCCCTACGTCAATTTGCTTATGGGTGGAGAAACCTTTGACTTCCACTGCCACTCGAACTTGACGCGCGCGGTCATGCCTTATGGCCTGACTGAATTGGATGTGCATGATGTGCTGAACGTCTTTCAGGTAACGGGTTTGGACGAGCGGGGAAAGTACTTCATGGAGACCTCGCCGGCGAAGCCGGGCGAATACTTTGAGTTCTTTGCCGAAGTAGATGTGCTCTGTGCACTGTCGGCTTGCCCTGGAGGTATGCGTTCCTTGTTGACTCCAGACTGGGGACCGGATGCTAATGCGTCAACTGCAGGGGATCTCTCTCAATGGGGATGGGAGGAGAAGGGCGAGAAGATGGGCGCTACGACCCGTCCATTGGGGGTGGAGGTGTACAAGCTGGCTGATCCCAAGATACTGGATGATTGGAAACAGCCTGAGAGCCCCAATTATAGGGGACAGCATGGGTTGCAAATGCCACGACGGGAAACCGATGATAGTGGCTACGTTGGTCTATAGTTGTGTCCATGAATCATTTTGTACCTCCTAGGAAACTCTGCGCAAATGGAGTCCGAGTTCGAACATTGAACAACGCCATGTTTCATGCTTCTGTTCCTATCATGAAGTGAGCTCCACCTGGTCGAACAGTGGAGGTCCGTTGCTGTTCTGAAGACATGAGACCAGATGACAGCGTCCTTCCCTTCCAATGTCAGCGCCGCCATTTCCCACAAATGGCAGGCAGTTCCACGAAAGACCTGCAATTACCATAAGTACTGAGTAGGTAAAATAACAAGTTCAATCCATTATACAAATACTCCAAAGAAGCATTCTGACCGTTGTGTACATACACGTGACCCGATTGCCCCGCCTTCGTCAGCTCACTCGATATCGTCATCGTGCTGCTACACTGCAGACGCGCGGAGCCTTGTCACCCACCTTGTCGGCGCATAGATCTATCAGGTTGATTAATTTGTTGGCAAAATAGCGTCATCTTGCTCGACCTGCACGTGTGTATACAACCTGAAAAGAAGTTTAATGCCTATGTTACGGTTGCTTCCATCTGCAGTGTAGTACTTGCGCGGGTGGGGTGTAAACATCCATCTCTGATTTCCCGCAATGACAACACCATTGCAATCTCTATCGCTGCAACATATCACGCAGACGTTTCAGAATGTTCCAACTTAGATAGATACGCCACGAATCAGCTGTTTTATCCCGTAGGTTGAATGCTCATTATTGTATGGTTCTGATAGCGTAAGCCCCCGAGGCATGACTTTGGAACCGACAGGTGGTTGCCTTCCCATACTAGCTTCCCCTCTCGAGCTGCTTCCTTATCAGACCCCTTCCACTTCCAGTCTGGGATCCCCGCAGGCCATATAAATCGTCCCTCTCCCCTCAAGTTACCCACCTGACCCATTCTGTTACTCTCTTACGGCTTACTACCTTGCCTTCCGACCAGACTCTCGCATCGTCATCTCCTGCCTCTCGCAACAGTCAAGAACTCAACACCTTAATAGCATCCGCATAGCGTCTTTGAAGATGCCTCTCTACAATGTCTGTCGCCCACTTGTAACAAGTCTCAACATCCACGGAGGCTTTGACTGATCTGTATATTCTAGATCACCCTGAAACCAGATGCTCAACCCGAGGAGCTGGAGAAGTGAGGCCCCCTTTAATGATCGACTCCCAGCCGCATATGCTTATGTCTATCTCTTCCCGGCTAGAGCAAAGAAGTCGGCCCAGGAACAAGGGGGAACCATCAAGCACGAGTTCACTCTCATCAAGGCATTCACGTATGGCATTTGTTTTACACTGCAGAGTTGGAAATTATTCGGCTGACCTTCAATCAGCGTTGAATTCCCAGAGGAGCAAGTCGGCATCCTCGAGAGCAACCCCCACGTCCACGTCGAGAAGGATCAAGAAGTCAGGATCCAGTGATGCAAAATGCCGACTAGGGCTCTCGACTCTCACCGTGGTTCATCCTCCATAGAACCTGAACTTGGTAGATCCCTGTGATTTTCGGAGGATGATACCCTATCTGAACGGCATAACCTCAGAACCTGGACCTCGGCTACAGTTATGTGTAGCTATATATATGCGTTATAGATAGTCTACTGGTAAACTTATGACGTGATAATTCTTTGCGGGATAATGACTCCGAGCCCTCTATTTTACAACCGACATCGACTGCGAGCTGGTAAATGAAAGACTAGAACAAAAAAAGAGAATGGTACAGTGAAGGGCAAAGGCTATTCATCACTGGATCGGAGTATCAAGACAGACTTTAAATGTGAAACACGAATACTGATGCCTTCATATTGGGGAGAGTTACACTTGGTGAAGACATACCTAGAGAGGTACATCCGATGTTATGCGCCGATCATGGCTTGGGGGATACCTATCACGTGTCAATATTCATTTTGGGTAAAGTGTCATTGCGACGGCGATCCGGAGTTAAAGGTGAAGTCATCGTTGGATATCAATAATGACTTGACTCAACCATTGTCGCTCAGCTCCCTTCATGATGGCTAGCGTCCATGATGACAGCCACAAGAATTCTTAGGGTATCGACTCTAAGATACAAGCATCAACTGAATGGTCAATTTCCTTCCTACTCCCTTTACAAGGTGAGATGTTACTCGACATCACCATCTCCAGATCAACATGAGTCGGCTCTGCATCAGCCATTTGCACATGGTGCGAATGATGAAGTCGCGCGGCTTGCGGCTAGCCGCCGATGTCCATTGACTCTTGCAGATCTACTCAAGTGAGTGAGGCACTGCGAATTTCTTCTTTCGAGACATCTGGTCATTTCTGACCACTCTGTCTCCCTTCAGGCACGGACGCCCGCCTTTATCAAAAGAGGCGCTACTCGCGTCTGCGAACTTCACGCTATCCCTTCTACCTGCCCGATTGGCATCTCGTATACAAGCGTTACGAAACCTCCCCTTTATCGTCGTTTCAAATCCACACATCTCGAAGATCTATAACAATTACGTCCACTCCTTATCGACTCTTCTGCCCTATCAGCAACGGCAGGTCACAACGCTGGAAGAGGAGAATAAGTTCGCAGATGTACTGGCGGACCTAGTGCATACGCATGCAAATACCATACCCATACTGGCAAGGGGTTTTCTCGAATGCAGGAAATATATCAGTCCACCCGATGTGACTCGATTTCTAGACACCCATCTACGAGCGAGGATTGGCACCCGGCTTATAGCAGAGCAACATCTGGCCCTTCACTTTGCCTCGCAGCCTGTTAGCGATGTCGGCTCCAGAATGGGGAAGTCGTCTGAGAACACGGTCCCGTCGAATTATATAGGTGTGATTGACACGGCCCTACAGCCGGCTCGCATCGTGAAGGTCTGCGAAGATTTTGTTGGGGAGATCTGTGAGCTGAAATATGGTGTGCGGCCGCGGCTAAAGATCGGGGGTCAACCGGATGCCACGTTTGCGCACGTCCCCGTGCATGTCGAGTACATCATCACCGAGCTTCTAAAAAATGCATTTCGCGCGGTTATTGAGTCAGGAAACCAACGTGAGCCCATTGAAGTTACGATTGCTGCAGCTCCAGACGTTCCGACCCATCAGGTTCACAATGTGCTCGGAAGAATGTCAAATGCCCCGGGTATCTACCCTGATGCCGACGTTGGCTTCGAGATGGACACCGTGGTTGGTACGGCAGATGCCAATGAGTCAATCAAATTCTCAACACCGTCGTCGCAGAGCATAACCATTAGAATCCGGGATAGGGGCGGTGGCATTCCCCGTGAGGTATTGCCCAACATCTGGTCCTATAGTTTCACTACGTTCTCCGATTCAAATCTGCTGGACTCGGATAACGGAAATCTCGATGCCCTGAACACACTGTCTGCCAGTGGAGGCCAGCTGAGCAGTATTGCGGGACTTGGATATGGATTGCCCCTTAGCAGAGCGTATGCGGAATATTTTGGTGGCAGTATTGCTATTCAGAGTCTGTGGGGCTGGGGAACCGATGTTTATCTTACTCTTCAAGGAGTTGGCAAGATTGAGTAATCATCTATTGAGGTCCTGACGGATTGCTTAGGCGGCGCTCACCGACTGTGGTGAATGCTGCCATGAAGCACTTCAAAGGCAATTTAGATCATTCACGTGCCACGTGCTGGCTACTCTGGTCATATTGAGACATTCAGAATAAAGTTCTTTTCTCTGGATGACAAGGATGCCTCACTCCAGCAATGCCACTACAATTTCAGACCTGGTGATGATTGCCTCGCGAAAAGCTCGACGAAGTCCATGATGAGTAGGTCATCCTTCTCAACCTCTTGGAGGATCTTGGCGATCTCCTTCTCGGTAAACATTAGCCGCATATTTTTGGTGAATTTCTCTTGCACCGCTCGAGCTGTGGCAGGATTTCGTATATGACCCGCCGGGTACTCTATCAGAACTTCGGGCAGTTCAGAGCCGTCCTGCAGGTGAACTGTGAGCGCAGAACCAATACTCTTCTTATCTAGATCCAAATAGTCTCTCGTGAGGCGCTCGTCAACGTGAATGAAGATCCTCTCTCGCAGAGAAGCCAGCTCCTCACTCCTGGCCCAGTAACTCTCATCTCGATAGTCCCTCGCCTCGGGCGCCGAGCCCTTCAAAAAGGCGAGCGCAATCACGTACTGGATGCAATGGTCACGATCGGCAGCATTATGCAGCAGCCCTCGCTTATTGATGATCGAAACCGCCGCTTGGGTCGTCCGAACCTCAACCCTGGCAATGCGCTCCGGGCCTAGCCCTCTCGCCCGGAGCTTGCCAAGTTGCACAAGCGCCGCCTCAACAGCCGCAATTCCATGGCCCTCAACCGGCATCACCTTGAACAGGACATTCTGGATCGTCCACACCCCAAACGGCCGTGGCATCTCGAACCCACTCGCCCCAAACGTCCGCGCATAGAACCCAAACGGCAACGAACTCAGCGGCGTGCGTGCACCAGGCTGTCCAGCACGCACGAGCAGAGCTAAATGCACCGCGCGCATACACGCATCTCCCGCCGCCCAACCTTTCCGCGGAATCGTGTTCGCGCCCGTCCTGTACACCCTACTCGGATGGCCGTCCATCCAGACGTGCGAGAGCGTCGCCATCGTCTGCTCCTCGGTTACACCGAGGAGCCAGGCGACCACGGCGGCCGAGGCCAGCTTGACGAGGATGACGTGGTCGATGCCGAACGCGTTGAAGGCGTTCCTGATCTGGCAGCAGCCTTGGATCTCGTATGCTTTTATGAGCGCGGTGAGCAACGTGCGCATTGTGAGCGGGGGCCGGTGTGCTTGTATCTCCCCGATGCGGAGGCGCGACATAGCCAGTCTGCGACGGCGAGGATGGCGCCGAGGTTATCTATGTCCCGTCGTTAGTCGCTACTCAGTTCGATATGGGGGCCAAGTCTACCTACCGGACGGATGCCCCCATTCTGCGCCGCCTAGCGCATCATTATGATCCAGGTACCGGATTAAAGTGCCCATATCGAATGCGCCCTTGACCGGGTCCAGGCTGAGATTCGTCCCTGGCAGTCGGAAGCCATTCGGGACCTCTGTGCCTGGCACAACCGGGCCGAGTAGTTTCTGGCACTCCTCGATCGTGGAGAGGGTTTCGATGGCGCATCCCGTGGCGTCTAGGAGGGCCACGCGTGCAGCTGACCAGGCCTTTTCGTCGTCGATGTGGTAGTGGAATACATACTGGGTGATGTCGACGATGGGTTTGTCGTATGGGGTGGACATGCTGTTGGAAGGATCGTTGTGCTCTCACGTCGATGGAATGAAAGATCGGTGATAATGATACTTGATTTAATGTATTGATGCCACTTCATCAGCGTTCTTGGTTCGTATGCTAAAAGCTAGCGTGAGGTGGCATTGAAGGTATCACGTAAAGACATCGACGCTCAAACATGCCACAGACAGTAGTACACGTCCAACATAATACATCCAATATGTATGATCATAGCCATCACTTGCCAACACATCTCGAGATATAGACAAGGTTGACTGAAAGGATATATATCCATTAAGTAGCTGGCGGCAGCTCACCCAAAGCAAAATATAGGTCAGTAAAAGCAAATATATACCGGCCAAATTGAGCAAAATTAAAATCCTCCAACACCTCTCACCCTTTGTACAGCACCAATAAACCCTCTAGCCCAACTGAAGCGTCCAGGGTCAACCCCAATAGAACCCTTGGGCATCTCACCAGTAACTGGATCATGCCAGCACCCGTCTTCGGCGCTCACAGCGCCGTAAAGCGCCGTATTCTGGTTCTGGTTCACTTGCTCCAACCAGACACGGCACACAAGAGGCGAGTCGAGGACAAGGTTCACTTCCTGGCTGTGGTAGAAGGATTGCGTGTCGAGGTTGCCGTTCCCTGAGTCGTCAGTACAAGTGCAATCTGTGAGGTCGTGCAGCACTCACCCTGTATAGCCACTCGCTCATCAATTATCATAAGTTTAATGTGGCAGCTTCGCTTTTTGTACTTATTGTGGATCGGTTTGGTTTGATCTTTGCCTACATAATTGTATATGCGCAGTCGCGAGCGTTCTTCGTCCGTATGTAGGGAGCGGTATAGTCGGTTCGCGATCATCTCGTTTGTGCCGTTCTGGAAGGGAAGGAGTTGGCCTGCGTCGTTGTAGCCAAGGCACAGGTAGCATGTGACGGTGACACCGCGACGGACCGCGTCGAGTAGGGCCTCCAAGATTGGCTCTGCGTTCATATTTGGAGTCTGGATGAAGATGGAGTGCTTCGCGTGTTTGAAGGCGGAGAGGAAGGCTGAGTTTTGTGGAGTGTAGATGCTGGTATGGTTTGGCGCTGAAGTATTGTTAGCAGTTTCATTCTTTCTTAAGTACCAATAGAGGAACTTGCCTCCCCAGGGTTCTCTGTTGACCAGCGCCATGGGAAATGGCTTGTGAGGTGGTAGAGTCACGTATGGTCGCATCGGAGGTTCCTGGTCGCTGTGTGGAGCGTCGCCGGTTGTGTCTCGCTGAATTGTAGTATCTGAACGACTATTTAGCTTGCGGTCGATCCGCAGGGGCAGGAAACCTACTCAGATGACGAGTGACAGCTTGAGTTTTTGATTCACCTGCTCGGGGACGAATAGTATCGTTGACCCTTTGCGCCTCGTGCTGGATATCACAATCATAATGAGGATCTTGCGTCGTGTGCTCAGGTAATGGAGAACGTAGGTCTTCCTTAGATTCAGCCTGTGAATGCTGAGCAGAGATGCTGGGAATGTCCGCGCTTGCGGCCGGAGAGGACAGCATTGGAAGGGACGTTTTGAACGCCTTCCCCCACGAGATCAGCGCAGTGTCATAGAACGAATCCACAATGGGTCCTTCGACATGGACCAGCATCTCGAGGTTGTCGTTGTCCTGAACATTACTGCTCTGAAGCAAAGCAACCCTTCGATCAATGACCATGAATTTGGCGTGAAAAGTCCCAAAGATAGGGCGGTGGTAGTTGGTGACTTGAAGGTCGATGTTGGGGATTTCATCTGAGGGAGGCAGTCGGACTTTGCCATCTGGATCTGCATACTGCTTCTCACCGACGCTCAGGTGATTATCCCAAAGCTGTTGAGGATTTCCCCGGTCGTATAGCACTTTCACAACCACTTTGCTCCCCGCTCGCCCGCTCGTCTTGACAGCTCCCGAAACGCGTTGGTTACGAGCGTCGATGCATCGGAGTAGATCCAGAAATTGGTTCCCAAGAATACCTCCTTTTCAGCTCGAGCGATACAGTTTGCTACATGCCGACACAGATCCGGCAACGGGGCCACAATGGTCAAGGGAACGACTCCGTGACTGCCCATCAATGGTGGAGAGACGACTCCTCCCAGGGGATTTTTGTCTAACGTACAGAGAGCGTCGTGGTAGATCTTTGATAGACGCAAGTCAGAAATAATCTGGCCATATTTACCATAATTACTGCCTTGACTGAGTGGATGTCCAAACTAACCTTAAGAAATAGATTACTCGGTTTTGCTGTTCCCCAGTTCCCACATTCATACGCCCTCTGCAGAGCATCATGACGGTCAGCGGTCGACTGCTTGGTTTCAACGAGCTTCTCCTTCAGCTTGTGCTCATGAAACAGCTTTTGAAACAACTTTGCCGGTGATTGGCTTGGATCTCTCGCAAGCTCTGAGCTTACTGTCTTATCGTGGTGGCATAGTCGGTACACCTTATCTGAGATCATGTCGCAGCAGGTATGGTTATCGCTCGTTGGCTGGCGCATTATCCAAATGACCAAGGAGCTCAGACAGATTGAGAAAACTGCTCCAGACAGCTTGAAAACCGCTGCAAGAGTAGAGGCATAAGGCTGGTCAGATAACTGCTGCGCCTGAGACATGTCCTGGGTATGACGTATAGAAAAGGCTTCTGTTCTAGATCTCACCTTAGCGAGCCATACTGACAACTAAGAACAGGCAGCATGTTTTATCCCGACGTTGTCAACCCTCTAATTATACGTTCTGCCCCATCACCATCTTCATCGTTTTGCGTATGACGAAAAGCGTGGACTTTAAGCGGGCTCTCGGACGAGGCCGACGTCATAGGCGTGGGCATCCCGGCAGCATTTTCAGGTATATATCATCAACAGTTCCCAATAAGCCCAAATAATATTCTAATTTCACATGCTTTATTCAGTTCCATTTTGACCTGGTAATTCGGGAATCCTCGGTCAGAGCGATTCGACAAACTGGTTTTATAGGTGGGAAGACAACTTCAATCGACCTGTTATTGATCCCCAATCGGACATCGCAGGGACTCTACGATAGTCGAGTTTCAACCGTGGTCCACCCACTAAGAGGTAGACAAGAAGCTTAGCAGCCGCTAAACAGATTAACTATTCATGCCATGGCCTATTCCTATATTCACGGCGTCGATCAACCCGGCGGATTACTATGTCATTACCAGTCGCCGGAGAAGACGTGATTGAGCGATAGGACGAGGCCCAGGTCACTAGCTGAGTACGTGGACTTGCCCTCATGAGGATATTCCCACCGGTGATAATGTCATGCAATAAGTCGACAGCACGGTAGAAAACGTCAGACGCTAGACTCTGCGTTGCCGTTGTTAGTAGTCTAGGTGGCCGTGGCAATGGCTGGCCCTTGTCACTTCACATCATCACGAATTAAGCTAGGTCTTGACTAAAGGCTCGCTGAGCAAAGGCCGAGCAGTGCTATATGGAAGGCAAATGTCCCGTCAGTACAGCTGTATCGCTCTCAGGTGGTTCCTCACAGGCATGTGTCTCTGGCATCGTGGGGGTTCGCATCCGTCAGGTTATCAGCAATTAGACCTCATTTAGCTCGCTGCCCCAGATCGATTAAACGGTTCAAAGGAGAGTTCCGGTACATCGGCTGTATATTCTTGGTATGCCGGCAACCTTGGCGGGTCAACTAGGCTTGTCTTGATTCTGGAAGGCAGGTTCACAATCGAAACTAACCGACAGATGAGTGTATGAAACCACGCTCACCGAGTGAGAAGCTCAAACATCGACACTGGATCCTCAAAGTACATCAATATGCTTCGGCAGTTCCAATAAGGGAAATAAGTTGTACGCAAATAAAGCAACCAATGCCGCGTGCCAATACTCAAGTATCAAACGGACTTTACCCCGCAGCGGAGATACTGCGATGGGGATCCCCCTCTGTTAGGGTACTGTTTACCATTAGAAACTGCCGAAATAGTGAGCCAAACGCCTCAGCGGTGCAATCTTTATTATTAATCTTTCGGACTTCTCTCCATCACGGCGAGGATTCCGCTGAGTTGCAGGAATTTATAGGAAATCCGAGAGCTTGCGTCTCTCTTCAATCGTTCTATATAATCTGAAATCCCTTCTTACCATCAAGTGAAGTTGATCACCCCGATTCAATTTTCTACTGGTAAATCCAACGATGTATGTGCTTATTCTAAACATCTACACCATCAAGAGCTGACACTGCTATGACCAGGGTTTATACCGCATCTTTCGCGTTCTTCGAGGCGCTTTGGGAGGTAGAAAGCTTTAGCCATCAAACACGTCTCAGTGGCTGAATTCTACAGGCTGGAGTCTCACATGCGTTCGTCAACTTGGGTTCCGACCATCCATCGATCCTGGAGGCCATGGTCAAAGGCCAGAGGGAGAAGCCAGACCAATTCCCCAAGATCATCACCTGTCCCAATGAGGTATTTCTAGATTCGCCTCTCATACCTATCTCACTCGGAGACGGGTCCGACTTCAGCCAGCTGACATTGCCTCCTACGCTAGATGGTCGCTCTCTCCATGGCAGATGGCTACGCTCGACTTACCGGAAAGCCTCAGTGCGTGATTGTTCACGTAGATGTCGGAACACAAGGCCTAGCCGCTGCTGTACACAACGCTTCCTGCGGTCGTGCTCCGGTGCTAATCTTCGCCGGCCTCTCCCCATTCACAATCGAAGGAGAGATGCGCGGCTCCCGCACCGAATACATACACTGGATCCAAGACGTTCCCGACCAGAAACAGATCGTGTCCCAGTACTGTCGTTATACGGCCGAGATCAAGTCTGGCAAGAACATAAAACAGATGGTTAACCGGGCACTTCAGTTTGCGACAAGCGACCCGAAAGGACCCGTTTACCTGACCGGTGCTCGAGAGGTTATGGAAGAGGAGATAGAGCCCTACACGCTAGCCCAAGGCGTCTGGGGACCGGTTGCACCGTCGGCTTTGACACCAGAGGCCGTCGAGCTGATCGCCTCTCATCTGGCCGCTGCCAAAGAGCCCCTAGCGATCGTAGGCTACTCAGGTCGCTCTGCTCGGGGGGTGAAAGAGCTAGTCACACTGGCCGATACGTTCAAGGGACTCCGGGTTTTGGACACGGGTGGATGCGACATGTGCTTTCCGGGCGACCATCCTGCATCGTTAGGACTCCGTTATGGTATCCATGACGCTATCAAGACCGCCGACTTCATCCTAGTTGCCGATTGCGATGTACCATGGATCCCAACACAGTGCAAACCATCGGATTCAGCCAAGGTCATCCACATTGATGTTGATCCGCTCAAGCAGCAAATCCCTGTCTTTTACATTCCCTCTATAGCAACTTTTCGGGCGGAGTCTGCGACTGCATTCAAGCAGATCAACGACTTCGTCGCGTCTAGCAAGGCTCTGCAGGAGGTGATCAATTCTGAAGAACAAGTCGCATTCGGTCAGCGCCGGGAAGAAGAATATAAGAAGACGCGTCAAGCTGTTGCCGACATTGCTGTAGTACCTTCGGGAGGCGACGACGCTTCATTGAATGCATCCTACCTCATGGCTCAAGTCCGAAAATGTTGCCCAGAGGACACCATCTGGGCCGTTGAAGCGGTAACCCTTACTGCGATTGTAGCCGACCAAATCAATGCCACCCTGCCCAACTCCTGGATCAACTGCGGTGGTGGTGGCCTGGGATGGTCCGGTGGCGGTGCCTTGGGAATCAAGCTGGCTACCGACGATCAGCACGGGGGAAAGAACAAGGGTAGATTCGTGTGCCAGGTGGTGGGCGACGGGACATTCCTCTTCTCTGTACCAGGCTCCGTTTACTGGATTGCCCGGCGCTACAATATCCCAGTGCTTACGATTGTGCTCAACAACAGGGGCTGGAATGCACCCCGCAGAAGCATGCTTCTGGTTCACCCCAATGGAGATGGCTCGCGTGCAACGAACGAAGATCTCAATATCTCTTTCGCTCCTACCCCAGATTATTCAGGCATCGCGAAGGCTGCAGCTGGAGGTGAGCTTTGGGCTGGTCGCGCGGCTACGGTAGCCGAGCTAGGCAAGCTTCTACCAGAGGCTATCCAGAGTGTGCTCAACGGGACTGCAGCTGTCCTGGAAGCCCAGCTAGACGGGACCACTGGAAAGTATGTTGAGAAGAAATAGGGGAGACTCCACAAGTCATCAGCCCTTTTCTTAGCCAATTGGATGCTTTCGCCTAGCAGATGACTCTATCCACAACTTGTATCTCTTGACATCTTTATAGAGCGGATCTTTTAGCCTAGCAGCCTAGTATTTAATTCTTGTTGATGATAATTGTGCCAGGGCAGCATCGCCATTCTCACCGAAAGTCGTGCTTATCGGCTGTCCGGCACTTATCAATCAACGCTCCGATCCCGGCGGTAGCCTTATTTATGCGTGCGGGGCACATTATTACAGTTGACCGTCTGTACGAGTCAACAATATATTCCACAGGACAAACAGAGAGTTCAGTCGGGTGCCTATGCAATTGTTACTAGGATTGTAAACATAGGAGCAAGATCAATCGCAAAGACCATGTCCTCAACCCTTGTAAAGTGTCCTGAACAACGAGCACGACTGGTGATGCAATTATGAACACGTATCGAGCCGTACGGTACCGTACAACCAACCCGATTAGGTAGTCTGCTAGTATTCCCCTCCCACGCCCTGTAGATGATCAGTGACCAGGCCCTTGCTTAACCATGACCCAGAAGCGCGGATACAACAGGTCAATTAGATAAGAGAAACCCAGCAGGGATACCTTCCATCCATTAAGCGTCCAGCGCACTCTCTCCCGCTTCCCAGCTTCGAACAATGACAGTCGTGTGTGACCTCCCTCATAGGTTGAGATATGGAGATTCGTCAACCCCCATCGGGCGGAACGGACCCGCCTTCTCGGATGTGTCGTCGGCGGAGACAAAAATGGCGTTGGTAACTTGGTATCGTGACTCAAATTGCCGGACTTTCCTCCTGCACTGATCTACGGGGTATTTGCTATTATTTGTTAGTATCCTTTCTGGCCGTCATTGTGTCTTCAGGCCTGGATACTTATTGTGATTGTGAATATCGCAGACAGATCCAACTTAGCTGGACAATTTTAATTGCTATCCGCCACCAGACCAGAATTTCCCCGAAACCGAGAAAAATGAGTCCTTCGATCGACGTTAAGAGCACGGATACATCTGCCGGCCCATTGACAATCGATGGCATTGCAGATCTGAGGGCAAAGAGTGCGCCAATTCCTACAGGTGTTGCGCCTGGTACGAGCAGTGATATGTTCAAGAGCCCTGTGAGTACATTCGGTTGGAGGGATTGCGAATAGCGCTGATGTCCTGGTTCTCCCCAGTCATGCTTTTCCAAGCCGAAAGCGAAGCGGTGGGATCGTAAGTCTTTCCAGTCTTCCGGAGTGCTGCCAAACACATACACCTGTCTTGGTTGGTTGCCGTGGAGAACCTCGCTGATCGATCGAAAGACTACCTCTCCGAAGAAGCCAAGTCCCGACAGGTTAGCCCGCTGGATAATCAACTGGTTGAATGGAAATGGTGCTAAAACTGCCTTAGCAATCTACATTGAAGGGTGCTGCGCGTTACCTTAAGACTCCAGGTATCTCGGCCCGTTATTTCTCTTCATGCCCGCGATATTAGTCCAAGTGAAATGCTGATGCTGACCACTGTAGGTCTCATCTCGTTGGGTGGTGGTCTGCCGTCGCCAGAATATTTCCCTTTCGAAGAGATTAGCATCAAAGTCCCAACGCCGCCGGGATTCTCCCCTCACGAGACCCGGGAATCGGGCGCTGTCCTGACTGCCAAGAAAGGGGATGCCCAAGCTGGCAGAAGTCTTTACGGTACGTAAGGAAGCTTCGAGAAACATATCGTTGCTGATTTTCCCACAGACCTTGAGGTTGCTCTTAACTATGGACAATCGACCGGTTCCCCTCAGCTCCTCAGATTCGTGACGGAGCATACCGAGGTATGAGCTCCTGAAGTACCAAAGTACCTGCGGTGATTAACAGAATCAGCTTATTCACAACCCCCCATATGCCGACTGGCAATGTTGCTTGAACCCTGGTAGCACCTATGGGTGGGATACAGTACTCCGAATGCTCTGCACCAGAGGCGACTACATCCTGATGGAGGAGTACACATTCTCTAGCGCCAAGGAGGGCGCTCTTCCATTGGGAGTCAAGGTGGCATCGGTCAAGATGGATGCGGAGGGTCTTCTGCCCGAGTCGCTCGACGACGTCTTGAGCAACTGGGATGAAGCTTCTCGAGGCGGCCGCAAGCCATTTGTGCTGTACACGATTCCAACTGGACAGAACCCTACCGGTGCCACGCAGCAGCTGGAGAGACGCAAGGCTGTATACAAAGTGGCACAGAAGCACGACTTGATTATCGTGGAAGATGAGCCTTACTACTTCTTGCAGATGCAGCCATACACCGGACCCGACCGCGAGCCTCTTCCTCCTCCTGCCAGCCACGATGAATTCATCAAGTCTCTCATTCCTTCGTACCTGAGCCTAGATGTCGATGGGCGTGTGCTCCGACTTGAATCCTTCTCCAAGGTTCTTTCACCCGGCTCGCGGACCGGTTGGATTGTTGGCCCGGAGCAGCTTGTCGAGCGATTCATGCGCAATTGCGAGACAGGTGCCCAACATCCAAGCGGCATCTCACAGATTGTTCTGTTTAAGCTTCTGGACGAACATTGGGGCCACTCCGGCTACTTGGACTGGTTGATCAACCTGCGTATGCAGTATACCGGTCGCAGAGACGCCATTGTCAATGCTTGCGAGAAATATCTTCCTAGGGAGATTGCTAAGTGGAACCCTCCCGCCGCAGGAATGTTTGTGAGTATTCCTCCACCTGCGATTTGAGGGTCATGGTCCGAAGGCAAATTGGCTGACACTGATACCCTCTTAGCATTGGATTGAGATCGATTGGCAGAAGCATCCTGCCGTGGGTTCGGGTAAGACCCGCGAGGCTATCGAGGAGGCTGTCTTCCATGCTGCGGTGAATAACGGCGTGCTCGTCTCGCGAGGCAGCTGGTTCACCGCAGCTGGTCGCAACGAGGGAAACCTGTTCTTCCGCGCTACCTTTGCGGCTGCCAGCTCGGAAAACATTGCAGAGGCTATTGCTCGATTCGCAACTGCCCTTAGAACCGAGTTCTCTTTGTAGATAGATTGACCGTGATGATTTTACGTAAGCTACGGGAATAGAATGCGAAGCGTGATATATTTATCATGGATTTACTCATTGACTTGGGAAAACTCTAGACATTATGAATACAATGCTCTCGATTCCGATGAGCTGAATAGGCTAGCGTAAACTGAACAGAAGTTAGGAATTCATGCTCTTTAATATTATGGAATAGTGAAATGATCCCATTCGCAATTTGAAACTAAAACAGCATGATCAAATCCTCTTCAATGCGTAGATTTCTGGCTTGATGGTCATAGTAGTGTATCGTCAGTACATGACTGTTGTTCTGGCTAAGGTAGCCCACCTTCGAAGCACAAATTGGGGTCTCCGGTTTGGGGCTAAATTAGTGTCCGCTGTTTAGCGTGGTTTCACTCTCACAGCCACATTCTCACTCACAAGGAGAAAGAAAGATCTCCAAACTTCTTGTATAGCTCTTTTCAACACTTCTACGAGGTTTTGGGAAGAAAGAACAAGGATCAACTTGGGTAATTTATTAGATCCTGTTTATTGCTACATCAGATTCGGTGGACATGTTGATTTGAAGCTGGGGGCCTTGAACCACTTTCCTTGATGGCGAAACAGGCGCCGGCGAGGTGAACAACACAACACTTTGCGCTTAATTACCGCCACTGGCTCACGAAGCGTGCCTGGAATTGGGTTATTTCAGACCTGTCTGTGATTGAGCATCAATATTGGCTGTTGATGCCTTCTCCAGAGACAGTGAGAATCTCCACAGGCTAGTGTACCAGTCGACGCCTCGAGGGCCTTTTGAGTCAGCTCTGTCTGGTCAAATAATACCTTTCTATTGCTATTGCAACTGTGAGCCTTATTGTGTACTTCAATATGGACAACGCTCGCGCCTCAGGGTTTCTGGACCCGACGTCCGCGATGGCGGCTGCCATCAGCAAGCACAAAGCAGAAGCCATCAAGCTAGCACGTGAACAGGGCGCCGCCGTGCGAGAGATGTGTCGCAGAGCAAAAACAGAGCCGCCGCCGTATGAGTTTGAAGAGTTGATTGGGAAGGGTTCCTATGGCCGTGTCTACAAGGGCCACCAGCTCCCTTCGCGCAAAGTCGTCGCGATCAAGGTGATGGATATTGATTCGATGGATTACAAGTCTGTTAGAGACCTCAAGGACGAATCAATTAAGGATTTCATACATGAGACGAAAGTTATGAAACAGGTCAAAGATGCTGGTGCGAAAAACATCAACGAGTTGATTGAGGCCATCTCGATCCATAGCCAGTTGTGGCTGGTCTGCGAGTACTGCCCTGGTGGTAGTGTTAGGACTTTGGTAGGCCCCTGCGTCGTCACTGTTTCTCTCCGCTTGTCATTTTCTGATTTTGCAATGTTTAGATGAGAGCCACTGGTGATAAGCTTGATGAAAGGTTCATCATCCCCATTGCGCGCGAGTTGGCTGCTGGCTTGCGTGCAATCCACGAGGCTGGTATCATCCATCGGGACATTAAAGGTGTGTAGGCTTTCGGCTGTCTGATTTAACTCACTGCTGACGCTCCTGTAGCTGCAAACATATTGATTCATGAGGAAGGACGGCTTCAGATCTGCGATTTCGGTGTTGCGGGAGTACTCCAGTCGCACGTAGATAAGCGATCAACCTGGATTGGGACGCCTCACTGGATGCCCCCGGAAATGTTCTCAACTCGAGGCGAAGCTCACAAATATGGAAGTGAGGTGAGGCTGTCAATTTCCTGCCCCATCCCTTGAAAATACTGACAAGTCAAGGTCGATGTGTGGGCATATGGCTGCACTCTCTTCGAATTCGCAACAGGAAATCCTCCAAACTCCAATTTACGTGAGCGGATGCAAATTGGAAGGCAACTCAACCGTACCACACCGCGTCTTGCAAATGAAGAATACAGTGACGGCCTTAAAGACCTAGTATCATTCGCTCTCGAATCGGATCCCATATCCCGCCCTACAATGCCAGACATCATGTCACATTCGTATATTGCTGGAACAGACGAGCAGTACCCGACTTCGTCACTCAGCGAGTTGGTGCGCATCTACTATCAATGGTCTCAGCGGGGAGGGCAGCGAATTTCGTTATTCCATCCGGGAGGTGCTGCCGCTGCGGAATTCCCCGACTATGAGCCAGACTTTGAAGAAGACTGGAACTTCAGTACAACAGATGGCTTTGAACGGAGGTTTTCCGTCATTGATCTGGATCGGATAGCCGCCTCGTTGGCCGAGCTAGAGGAGGAGATGAGTCCAACGACAACAAATCAGCAGGATCGCGATCCCTTCGATGAGCCAGCCGGATCCGAAATGTCCGTGGAAGACAAGGCCAACTTCGACGAGCGCGTCCGCCGAGGCGCAGCGGCAATGGAGGGGCTATTCAACGAAGACATGCCGAGTTACAAGTACGAAACGAAGAACGATTTTGTGCCCATTGAGCCCAAGCCTCCAGCGTCTGATCTGCCTCTTCGCACGGAGACAGACCGGTCTTCAGTGACGTCTACATTCATTGACATTGACATCGGCTCATTCGACTCGTCGCATTATGCGGCTGGAGCTGCATCGGCACAGCCGTTCCAACTTGCAGACGCGGATACGATCAGGGCCAATAGATCCACCGGTCGCCAGCAACACAATTCCCTTGAAGCCAGGTCACGATCATCGAGTCGTGATGCGGATGATCATGACGAATCCGAGCAATTAACTTATCAGCCCCAAACTGGCCCACGCCCTCCGACGATGGACTGGAAATTTCCGGTATTTATGCAACCTTCGGAAGCAGAGCAGGCCGAACCGGAGACGGCACAGTCACCGAAGGCGTCAGAGTCACAACAGGAGGATAAACGGGCGACTATGGACTGGACCTTCCCGGAGGAGGCACAGCATAAAGACAAACGAGCAACTATGGACTGGACCTTCCCGGACATGACTGCCGCTAAGCCTCTGGATAGCGAAGATCCCGGCCGCCACGATACCCTTCGAGCGCCGCTTCCCGAGCTTCAGCCATCAGCTACCATTCGACAGTCTACCATTGGAGAGCCTGGGGACTCGCGACCGTCCACTTCTGCATCGACTGGCTCCGATATCTCAGCTCACTCAGATACAGACTATAATCCCTTCAAGTTTGACCGTCCTTCAACGCCTCCCGGTGAGCTCGCTGAAGCACATGGGCATTTCTTCAACAAGGAGCTACCGGAAACGCTAGGATCAGTGGGCTACGGCGACTTTGAACGGTCGTCAGTGTTAGACGGGCCGGGGCCAGATGAGGAAGACTCGCAGTCGGTGATTTGGGAGAGCACCACAGAAATTGGTGTTCAACCCTCACATACAGAACCATTCCCTACAGCCATTCCATCCAAAGAGATGGAGCCACATCAACCTTTTCCAACGCTGACTGAGTCGCCTATGATTGATCCTTTGCCCACAGCCCGGCGAGATCCGCGCCCGGCTACGAGGGATGATATGGAGCCGGTCTACTTTCCCGATCTCGTACCGCCGCGACTTGAGGCTCTGACGGCCGGGGCGGAAGAAAGCGCTGTGACTGCCGAACTGGACAGACTTTTGGGCGATTTTCTGGATGCCCTCTCTGCGACTGGAGATGCGTTGTCCCGAGTCGCCGTCGTTCCAGAGACAGCAAGACGTCGACCGTCAATATCTGAACAGGCCGAATGAACTTTTGCTTTCTTTTGGTATCGACCCTAGGTTCTTGCGACAGTCGCTTAGATGGATACTTGGAAGTACAGACTGGTTGTCTATTGAACATATGTCAGTCATATTCGTATTGATCAATGACACTCATGATGGATACTGTACATAACTCCAATACAGACAATTGTCGATATGTCACCTCTCAACTGCAAGCGTAATCAATAGCTCGATGACAAGATTACAAACTCCCCCTGTAAACCCAAGTGATCCGTGACCCAGACCTCTTCATCCTCGCGCTCAGACTGATTGAAAGTAACCGTGACCGTGACCCCTCCCCAATCCTTTTCAGACTCTTCGCCTCAACCCCACCACAATACAGAATCTTATCCATACGACTACACCCAAACCGCTCCCTCATCCAATCCGGCACCTGCTGACCCCACGTGAAACTCTCCTCCGTCCCCTCTCTCCCGCCCAGAGTCAAGAACGCATCTCTAAGACCACACTCCTCCGGCGCGGAGCGATCCTCCGGCGCAAAGGCGTTAAGGTCACCCGCTAGAATAGCTGCATGGGGCGTCGGCGGCGTATACGTCCCCTCATCCTCGGGCCCAGTCGCCGGACCAGACCCATGCATGAAGATCGAGGCGAGACGTAGCTGCACCGGCCGTCTGGGCGGGTGGGAAACAAGGCTCTCGAGATGTGTATTGCACAGCCGTAAGATGCGTTCTTTGCGTCCTTAGCTTCAAGTATTACTAAAAAGGGGATGTGCAACCTACCACTTTCGGCCCCGAAGGGCCCAACATCAACATCAACAAATAACCCGTCCCTCTTCATCCTTGAATTCGAATACGGGACCCGGAATACGCCCCGCACAACCAACTGTTTATCGATCATCGTCGTCGTCCCGTAGGACCCGCGCCAATGATCGCTGCTGGTGTCGGTGATGAAGAATTTCTCCTGTATCCAGCCCGATTCCTGGATAAGCTGGAGATCTGACTCGGCCATCTCCTGGAGGAAGATGCTTGATGGGGTCTCGTCGTCGGGCTGGGTGCTGTGTTGATGGGAGAGGTACTCCAGTGCTGCGGCCATGCGTTCGCGGCCGAGAGGGGTCTGGAAGTCGATGTTCCATGTTGTTAGGCGGATTCTGGTTATGGTTTTTCTGTGGGTTTGATGGAGATCAGATGAGTTGGGGGATCCGGTGATGTCTGTTAAGCTCCGGATTGGCGTCCAGGTGTTGTCGAAGTAGTGGTAGAAGGGCTGCGGGTTGGCGCGGTCGAGTCTCATGGTGGACTTTGCTGTGGGTAGTTTCTTCGCGAGTCTAGAGATTAGTTTTGAGGTCATTTAGAGACTACTCTTGGTACGTTGGGTTCCGATTTCATTAAGGCTTGGATGGGTAGATGAGATGGATGATGGCTGCCTGCGGAGAGTTGTCATGTTCATGGTATGGTTAGGTAGCTATTTATGTATGAGCTATACGTATGTTTTGAGGATAGAATCTCCCATCAACATCATGGTTATTATTGCTCAGAGGTTCTGATTTCTTTAATGTCATTGACTTGATGCTCACTAATGAAGTATTTACTAGGTGAATATGGAGTACGTTTCAGCATTATCATATTAAATCTTCCTGGTATGCCACAATCAGGCTGAGTGCTACCTGTGAATGCGGCGCTCAGAACCGCACTCATCCTCAGCGCATCTAGTCATTGTTGACGATACCATGACGCGTCTCGTCTCGAGACACGCTCGTTTCTCTCCTTCCGGTCATCCATCTTCTACCTATCGACCAGTTGGGTTTGTCCCCATTGCCCAGAGAGATGCATGTCTTGTGTTCAGCCAGTCATTGTCCAGGTCTTTCGTTCTAGCACTCGTTGGAAATGGCTCTCTCAATTGCGAAAAAGTTCATTCGTTTTGAAACTTCTTCATCGCCCCAGTCGCCAGAGCAATGGAAGCAAACTATTCAAGATGTCAAGCTGCTGTATTTCCAGCGTCAGTACAAGCAATGCGCCGCCCGTTCGTCTGAGATCCTTGATGCTGTAAAAGAACCAGTGAGTGGAGCCTGTTGCTATCAAAATAGGAACGCATTAACGTGCTCTGATCGGCAGATCCATCCGGTCTACAAGACATACCTTTATTTCTACAGCGCCATTTCCTACGAGGAAATGGGCCGAGCAGCCCATAACTACTCGCGAAGAAAACTTCCTCTGCTGAAGTCCGCTCTGGACAGCTTCGTCACCTGCAGTACAATTCTGCCCTTGACAATCCCGGTTCCTGAAATCAACTCGGAGACCTCGAGTCCTGCTTCGCTGGTGGGGTCATGGACAGCGTCCGATTTCTCGGAGAGTCCTTCGCCTGTCGGGGCCCTCGTCAGCAGCATCACGGACATCATTGACAAGTCCATGCTCTGCCCAGACGATGATCCTTTCATCTCAGATAGTGAGGGCTGGGTTGATCTGGCTCTCCACATTCCAGAGGACCTTCCACCCCGCATTCCACATGACGATCAGCGCCTCATGCCCTCGCCCCTTCGACTTCGAAAGTCGTCGGTTGATCTCCGTCAGGCTAGTCGACAGAATCAATCTGCGAGACTGTGTCTTCCTCCTCCTCTTCCTTTCAAGATTCTGCCTGCGGACCCCATGAAAATGAACCACGAATCTTCCGGACCTAATAGAACTCCCCGCGCGCAGGGTAGAGGACAAGTCCACGCGGATGAGCACAAACAAACGCCCGTGACACCGTCACGCGCCGAATCCATTACACGATATAACAGCACCCTCAAGTCCTTGCGAGTTCAGATCAACTCCAGCATCGCCGACATCCACACACTCATGGACGAGATCACGGAGTTGCAGTCGGCCCGTCAGGCGTCGAAGAGTTTCCGCCGGTCTGCTTCATTCTGGAGTTTCAGTCCCGTCAAGGAGGGTCCTGATGGTCAAGAGAAACTGGGTAGTTCGGGAAGAGTCATTGTCAAGGAGACCAAGGAGCAGCGCATTGCTCGACTGCGTGCCGAGGGATGGAAGACGGTCGGGTTGAGGTCTCCGGTCCGAGGCTGGAAGGGAGCGGCATACTACCAGGCATATTGCAATTCTGTTTTGGACGAATTGTATCTGGAAGTGTAACTAAGGGTTGGACAGCTGTCTTAACATAAGGGGTTTCTTGTGGCAGAGTACGGAGTACCATTGATTGCATCTAGCGGGCTTCTGAAGCGCATATCTGCTCTTGATACTTGATGATGAGTGTCGATACGATGAATTGTGAGCTATCTAGAAACGAGGACCAAAAATAACGTGAAGTTATATGAGCCATCACAGATGAAGAATTGACTCCATCAACCGTCTATCTAGCGATCGTCTCAGATTGCAACCCCGTCCCACTATTTTTGGGTGGTGCCTTGAAAGTGGATCCGGGCTTCAAGAAGGCTGAAATTTTGGTACAAAAAAAAGTCGCACAAGGTCGCTGGCGCGTTTCATGCTGATGAAGGGCTGAGGGTCCTAGTGTTCTCTGTAATGCAGTAATGCAGAAATGATCAAGATGTGACTGATCGAATTCGAAAGATGTTGACACCACTTGAGATCTAAACTGCTACATAGATAGCGTAAGAGGACGATGCATTGTAACCTAGTGAAGTTTGAACTCTGAAGGGACTGACAAGGCTGAGGTCAAGCATTGTAGTCCAGAACATCAGTGAAATGATAGGGGGAAAGGAACCCTCAGCCACTAAGATTTCGATACTCGATAGTCTAGAGACGTACTCCGTATACTAAGGTTCTCCGTCATCCAATTCGAGATATTTTGGATCAGCCCCGCCGCTGCCCAAGGCTCGACCAGCTGGAGGTAAAGACTCCGTGGCTGTGCTGGTGAGACTCGGGGCGATTCAGAGAGACGGTCTGGAGTCTTGACAGTGTGATAAAATTAAATAAACTATGGATAGTCCAAGGTCCAGACAGCTTTATTTCTTCAGTTCATCTTTCTTGTGAAGAGACATTGTACACTCCAGCATCTTTCATCCCGTGCATGTGCATTGATCCCACCGGTCGGAGTGATCTTTCAGAGGGTCAGTATGTTTATTTTCCCATCCCCTATTGACTTTCAGCTATCTACTCCGTCCAATGTCGAGTCGCCGCTCCGTCCTGGCTAGTCGAGATCATGTACTGACATGCGATTTCGATCCCTCGATAGAATCATAAGAGAGGGAACAGGAAACAGACATCGTCCTCCTTGACATTCCCAAACCCTCCCAGTACCATTTCCTTTCGCCCCGCCCTCCTGTCCCCTCACGTGCGGGGTCTCCCATCGGCTTCGTTCTGTCCGCTGGCCTCAGCCCTCCACCACACGTTCTATTTTCGAGCTTGGGTCCCTGTCAGACAGACCCTGCTTCGTCACAATGAGTTGTGAGTCTCGCTTGTTCTCGTTTTCGCTCCGTCAATGCCCTGTGTGATGTGGCTAGCTTCTCTGCACCACATGTCCTACCTTTGATCCTTTTCACGTGCGCTCAAATACTGGAGCCTGCTGGTCTGGACTCGTTTCGTGCGATCATGTCCCTGCTAGCATTACCGTTAGCCCTCTCGGGTAGTAATGCAAGTCTTTTCGGACTACTCGTTCTCTTATTGTTCTTTGGTCGAGCATTCCCGTGGAATTTGAGCTTTTCATTGCGTTTCCTTTTGGTCTTTTGTCCTACGCCGTTCTTATGGAGCTGCTGTCCCTTGTACGGAAAGATGCTAACCATGGCATGGTTGTTTTAGTCTCTACTATGTTTAACAAGCTGTCCGGGCAGCCCGAGAGCTACGAAAAAAAGTACGGTGTTCCATGCCCTCTCGCCTCTTTTTCTATCATCCCAGTCCCACTGAAGACATTATGCTCACCTCTTCTAGAGCGCTGTATAGGTTTGGAAGGACGCTAGGTGCAGGCACTTATGGTATCGTCCGTGAAGCAGAGAGCAGCAGGGGAAAGGTTGCAATCAAAATCATCCTGAAGAAAAATGTCCGCGGCAATGAGCGCATGGTCTACGATGAGCTGGAGATGTTGCAGGCGCTCGATCACCCCAACATTGTTCACTTTGTAGATTGGTTCGAATCCAAGGTGGGTGCACGAGCTTAGCTTACCGTTCGCCGATCGCAGTCTGACGGTGAATTAGGACAAATTTTACATTGTCACTCAGCTGGCCACCGGTGGTGAGCTGTTTGATCGGATTTGCGAGTACGGCAAATTCACAGAGAAGGATGCTTCTCAGACAATCCGGCAGGTGCTGGGTGCTGTGAACTACCTTCACGAGCGCAATATCGTCCACCGAGGTCAGTCTTTCATTCAACTTTGCCCTGTTGGTGAACTGCGCACTAATGCTGGCTCGTGTATAGATCTGAAACCCGAGAACCTGCTCTATCTCACTCGCGACCCCAAATCTCCTCTGGTGTTGGCTGATTTTGGTATCGCGAAAATGCTGGAGAACCCTACCGAAGTCCTCACAACCATGGCGGGCTCGTTTGGTTATGCGGCGCCCGAGGTCATGCTCAAGCAAGGCCACGGCAAGGCCGTCGACTTGTGGTCCCTCGGTGTTATCACCTACACCCTGCTGTGCGGATACTCGCCCTTCCGATCGGAAAGCCTGTCCGATCTGATCGAAGAATGCCGCGCTGCCCGGATCGTCTTCCACGAACGTTACTGGCGCGATGTCTCCAAGGACGCCAAGGACTTCATTCTCAGCCTGCTCCAGCCTGACCCCGCCAAGCGGCCCACGTCGCAGGATGCATTGAAGCACCCGTGGCTGACTGGTGAGTCTGCCAGCGACCGCGACTTGCTGCCTGAGATCCGTGCCTACATCGCCCGCTCCCGTCTCCGGAGAGGAATCGAGATCATCAAGCTGGCGAACCGCATTGAAGCGCTCAAAATGCAAGAAGACGAAGAGGACGATATCCCCAGCCCTTCCGAGATGGCGGCATCTGCAGCGGAGCCCAGCAAATCTTGTGATACAACAGCGTTTCCTCCGCTGGAGGGGACGGAGGCGAATGGGAGCTCATCCCCTGCGCCTGTTGATGATACAACCGGTGGGACCAAGAAGCGGAGTCTGAGCAAGATCGCACGCGGCGCGATCTTCCGCGAAGTCGTTTTGGCCAAGGTTCGCGAGATGAAGGAGAACGAAGAGCGCGAAAAAATCGAACGGGAAGCTCGAGAGCGGACTGCCCATGCTTGATTTTCTAACCGATAGTCGATCGGTTTTTTTTTGTGTTTATTTTTAGAGCCTGTTCATATCTTGTGTATCCGAATCATGTTCGAGTTGATCTTCGAATATGATTTCTATGATTCCCTGTGCAAATTCAGATGCTTTTCTTATACTCGGAGTTTCGTTTGCTGGCATTTCGCTGTATCCGCCTTTCCACCTGATTTCAAAGTTGCGCCACCAGTTATGCCCAATAGTGATCCTAAATGTGGACCGACCGTTTACTTAACCGTTGTGTCATCGGGTCATTAATATTAATAGGTGAAGCGCCAACTGAATCATGTAGGTGCTATACTCCCGACATAGAGACTGATATCAAACGATCACGTGCTGCAGTGTCAGATGCTCTCGGACCAATCAGATGACCGGCTGCAGGTGATCGGCTGCCTTACCCACCAGAGGTACCTGCTGTTTGGAGGTTTCCCTTTATATACATCCAGCAACGTTCACCCTTCCTCTCTCTCTTGATCAGTCTCTTTTACTCTGAAGCTTTACAAGTCGCCCTCACTTGATAGATATTTCCTTCTCTAGCTTACTCCGCTAAGTGGTACCCCGCAATCGCTCGTCTACCTTACCGACATCAAGAGCCCCGCCTCTCAGGACGTCATACACAGCTGCCCTAACAAGCTTCTATGCGCGTTCGATACTAGCACCTTTGAAAAGACTAGTACCTGACCCTACATCAGACATTGCAGCCAAAGCTTGTATACCCTGAAGACCTCTCAGCCTCCGCTCAAGGGGCTCGTCTTTCAAGATGTTTGCCGGCAAGCGTTTAAGCAAAGTATGGCATTCCGTCTCCCCGCTCGATAAAGAATCGTATAAACTGACACTGGATGTACATCTATAGGAGCTCCTGAAGGTACCTACACTTCCCTGCCATCGTATTGCACCTTAGTCCCAGCATCACAAAGACGGCAGCATTGCCACAACCACATGATTCTAACGTTCAATATCTGTACAGATGAAGGAGCACCTCCCGCCCGGCATCTCAATAGTCAAAGACGACAATCTCGAAGAATGGCAAATGGACATCAAAGTCCTTGACGACAACCCGCTCTACAAGGACCAGACCTACCGACTCAAATTCACCTTTGGGTCGAAATATCCCATCGGTGAGCCCGCTCTCTTGCCTCACAAACCCCGCGCTTGCATCAACGTCACTAATTATACCACAGAACCACCAGAAGTCCAATTCATCGAACTCCCTAGTACATCCGATACCCCGCGCCCCATCCCCATGCACCCCCACATCTATAGCAATGGCATCATCTGCCTCGATCTCCTCAGCTCTGCCGGCTGGTCGCCTGTGCAAACGGTCGAAAGCGTCTGCATGAGTATCCAAAGCATGTTGACAGCGAATAACCGCAACGAACGGCCTCCCGGTGATGCTGAATTCGTCTCATATAACAAGCGCCGCCCGCGCGATATCGCTTTCATGTACGATGATGATAATGTGTAGTCCGTATTCTGGTCCGTGGCTGAGCTTCTTGGCGGCGTGGTTGCGTTGGGCTTTCAGCGGGATCGCTCGGGCGGCATAGTCTTCGGTCCTCAACCTGGCATTATTCGAGGGTTAGTAGACATTCTCGGTGTTGCTTTGTCACCTTTAATCGTTCGCATTCGCATTCGCGTTGGCGTCGGCGTCGGCTTTGTTTTCTTTAACTAGGGCGCTCCATAGTCGGAAGGATGGTTTGGACATTGTGCTGCTGGAGTTCCATCTACTCCTCTTCGTTTCTTTCATCTACATATTGTTATACAACAGCCTACGACATCGCAGTGATAAATGCATGAGGCTCTAGATAGGGTTGGTAGTCAAAAGATTGAGCTATGAAATCCGGAGCAGTTGCCTTCTTGACCAAGGAGACCGCAGTGGTCCACGTTAAGAGTCCTGTAGTCCCATAATTCTATTCAGCACATGACATTGTATTGAAGATCCACATGTCACTATAAACAGGGTTATGGTAACAGAAAACAAAGGAAATGGAAGCAAACAAAACGCCATGGGAAGGAATTGGTACAGCTCGGCAGTCGAATCGCCACATCTCCATTTATACTGGCACCCCATGCACTCAACCGATAGCATGTTCACTTTTCGGGTCGAATAAGTAAAGAATGACCTGAGAGAAAGACGCCAAGAGGAGCTCGCTCTGTTCTGATTATCCTCTGCCTCTACATGATGCAATTGCACATATTCAGGTATGTAATGATTCACTTATCTCTACCGGTCGACTTCACCGAACACGAGATCCATTGTACCTAAAAGTTGACATGTTAGCGGACTGAAGGAACTCGGGATTAATATTAGGAAAGCCCACCGATAATAGCGACAGCATCTGCCAGAAGGTGACCACGAGAGATCTGATCGAATCCACCCAAATGAGCAAAGCCGGGAGCACGGATCTTGCAACGGTAGGGTCTCTCGCTGCCGTCACTGACAAGGAAGACACCCATTTCACCCTTGGGGGCCTCAATGGCGGAGTAGGTCTCACCAGGAGGGACGGCGTACCCCTTGGTGAAGAGAAGGAAGTGGTGGATCAGAGCCTCCATGTTCTCCTTCATGGCGGCACGGGGAGGGGGAGAGATCTTGTAGTCTTCGACACGGACAGGACCAGCGGGCATCTTGTTCAAGCACTGGTGAATGATGCGCAAGGACTGGCGGAACTCCTCCATACGGCAAAGGTAACGGTCGTAGCAGTCACCGTTGACACCAACGGGAACGTCGAACTCGACCTGATCGTAGGCATCGTAGGGCTGCGACTTGCGGATATCCCAAGGGACACCAGAACCACGGAGCATGACACCAGTGAAACTCATGTTGAGGGCGTCAGCCGCGGTGACAACACCAACACCCTGAGTTCTGGCTTTCCAGATACGGTTATCTGTAAGCAGCTCCTCGGTCTCGTCAATGCGGTCGCCGAACTGGGTAGCCCATTGGTAGATATCGTCGAGAAGGCCAAGGGGTAGGTCCTGCGATACACCACCAGGGCGGACATATGCAGCGTGCAGACGGGCACCGGAGACACGCTCGTAGAACTCCTATTGATGAGAGGTCAATGCATTGCTCCCCGATCATACGTGATGAAGGGAAAAGATGCCGCCTACCATGAGCTTCTCACGCTCCTCGAAACCCCACAAGAAAGGCGTCAGAGCACCAACGTCCATGGCGTGGGAAAGAACCGACATGAGGTGGTTCAGGACACGCGTAATCTCGCCGAACAGGGTCCGGATCCACTTGGCTCTCTCGGGAATTTCGATATTAAGCAGCTTCTCAACAGCCAGCGAGAAGCACTGCTCATTCGTCATCATAGAGACATAATCCAGACGATCAAAGTAGGGCAGAGCCTGCATGTAGGTCTTGTACTCGATCAACTTCTCGGTACCACGGTGCAGCAGACCGACGTGGGGATCTGAGCGGACAATTTCTTCGCCATTGAGTTCCAGAATCAATCGAAGCACACCGTGAGCGGCAGGATGCTGGGGACCGAAGTTGACAGTGTAGTGACGGATCTTGCGGTCGACCCCTTCCGCCTGCGACTCAAGATTCGAGGCGGCCTCGGACTCTGCGGTTGCCTTGTTGGCCAGGTGTGTGAATGTCGGATCCGTCGGGATGAGTCTGGTAGCCTGGTAGCTGGTAGGCTCCGCGTACCGACGGGGAAGGGTCGTCGATATCGAACGGGTGTTTCTGGCGAAGGTAGAGGGGCGAAGACAGAGCTTCTTGGGCGCACTGCCCGCCAGACGGGCGAAAGAGGCAGCCATTCGGGATATCACAAGGAAGGATGAGGGATCAAGCTGGCCGACTGTCCTCAGTCCGGACGTAGTGAAGGAGGCACTCTTACAGGACGGTCAATGCGAACTGGTGCTTGGAGGTTGCGGGACAAATTGGGTAATCACGTGATAAGCTCTTCGGGTCATCACGCCGCCTCTGGTTGGTCTTTCAATGGTCTCTAAAGTGCACCTGCACTAAACCTGTATTGGTGAAGACAGTACTAGTTTTCTGCTCCGGGCGGACCAGCAGCACTTTGGCCCGCAAGATTGTCTCTACAGTGGGTGCCGTTTAAGTGGGAGGACATGACCGCCTTACGCCTGCAGAAAATACTGCCGCTTGTCCCAAAGAAATTATCATCCGCTCATTTCTCGATTGAACCTCTCAGTCCTCAGCAGTCCATCTACCTCGTGTTGTCGGCCACCATGGCACCTCTTATCCCATCGCAGGAGGAGCTTGATCGCAGAAGGGTACATTACTTTCTAGCTCAACGTCTGTGAATATCCTCGACACTAACCAGCTCTTAGATCGTCGGTATCAATCCAGAGACCGTCACCAATATCCCCTCCACAGATTTTCCCGGTCACTGGCCCGGCGAATCGCATGAATGGAATTTGGAAAAATTCAGAGATGTGCGTTCTCCTTGAGCACTTTTCATGTACTGGCTTCCATCGTGTGTCGCGATGGTGAAAAGATTCTTCAACTCACACCTGCTGTCCATAGGGCTTCCGAGTCGAGTTTCATCGCAATGACCCATTCGAATCCTCCTTCTCCTTGATTGGACTTGATGCCTCCATCGCAAATGCTTTCCGTCGAATTTTGATGGCTGAAGTACCCACCCTGGCCATCGAGTACGTTTTCGTTCACAACAACACTTCCGTTATACAGGACGAAGTTCTCGCTTCGCGATTGGGTCTGATTCCGTTGAAAGGCTCAGTAGAGGGTCTCAACTGGATGCGCTGGTTTAAGAAGCCCGCAGAAGATGATCCTGAATCTGGCAGCACCCCGCCGACTACAACACCATCGTGCTACGCTTGGATGTTGAGTGTACTGAGAACCCCAACGCTGCTCCGGGCGAGGACGACCCTCGCAAACTTTACAAGAACGCACACGTCTATGCTAAGGATATCACCTTCCATCCAGTTGGACGTCAGGAACAGTTCTTCACTGGCGACGGTGCAATTCAGCCCGTCAATCCTGATATTCTCATCGCAAAGCTACGTCCAGGACAGAAAATCGATATGGAGTTGCACTGCATCAAAGGGATCGGAGCTGATCACGCCAAGTTCTCGCCCGTGGCTACCGCGACATACCGTCTCATGCCAGACATCAGGACTCTCCGCCCTATCATCGGTGAAGACGCCAAGAAATTCGCCAAATGCTTCCCCAAGGGAGTTATTGAGCTCGAGCCCGTTACGTCGAGGGAAGCCGCGCAGAAAGGAAGCGAATATGAGGGTCGCGCAGGCGAGATGAAGGCCGTGGTTCGTGACCCCTTCAAGGATACCGTCAGCAGAGAGTGTCTGCGACACGAAGAATTCCAGGGCAAGGTGAAGCTGGGCCGCATTCGCGATCACTTCATTTTCAACGTTGAGAGCACTGGCCAGTTTGAAAGTGATTATCTTTTCCTAGAAAGCGTGAAGGTGCTCAAGTTGAAATGCGCGAGATGGAAGCGAGGCTTGACAGATCTCATGCGGTAATGACATTCGTGCGGCCTGTCCCAACAATTTTCGAAGTATATAATGCATTAGCCGGCGTTGGTTTTCGTTATCTCTGTGCTTCTTGTACATCTACGAAAAAGTTGGTCAAAACCTCCTTTACGACGTCAGGAGTCTGCGTGGGGTTCTTCTTCAGATAATAGAAATGCAGCTATTATTTCTTCAAGTCGCTGTGTGTCTTTCTGGCAATGTACTCTATCGCATATCGTCGTAACGCAACCGTGTCCCATTCAGGCTTGCAAGTTGGAGCCACGGTACTTCATTTGAAGATCAATTGGAAGCGGAAGTCAATAGTATATGCGGGGTCGCTAACCGCAATTTCCTGACCGTTTTCAACCAGTTCCTTCAGCTTCAGCTTCAGATTGCTTCTGGTCTGCTCCTCCAGCTGAGGCGGGAAGCGCTGGTAGAGTGTCTTTTCTTCCGTTCTCATACTCGGCTTCTTGAGCTGGGCCTCGGCTCGCTCACCGAGACTCTCTATGAATTCCTCCAGCGTCATGTTCGGGTCTACAGTAATCTTTCGGGCCAGATTGCCGCAAACTGGGCAATCTGGTTTCTTTTCTGCCTCAAACGTGTAGGTGTAGACCCCCTCTTCACCAGCGTACATCATATAGTTCTCCAGGTAAGGGTTGCAGGAGGTAGCGATTTTCAGTGCTTCTGACGTGGTCGCGGCTGCGATGACGGCGTTTGTCGAAGCAATAGCGGGAATGATATTCTTGACCACGCCTTGGGTCATTTGAAAGGTTACGCCGTGGATGTGGAACTGGTTTGCCCTTTCAAGGGCGGCGTTATAAACCCAGCTGATATGTTCCATGTCATCGCTGTCAAAGGCGTGGTCCTTGCGCTTCTCTTGCCAGGCGATTTGGTGGGCCCACTCAATGCAATGCTGAGGCTGTCTGGGAATAGTTGCAATGGTGCAAAGGGGAACAGCAGGTCGAGGAGCATGCATATCTAGCTGGCATTCAATGCATGAAGACAGCGTTGGAAGAATTACACGGGCCTGGCCCTTGAAACCTACTTAGGATTAGCATAACTTTGTGACCAACGATATCGATGGCGTCGGATAGCTTTACCTTCTGTTCCTCCGTCAATTAGAGGCTTGAGACTCTCGGGATTCTCCGGATCAACCATCCCGATAAGAGTGGAATTGATCCACCGTCTGGCCTCGATACTATCCAGACCACATACAATGATCTTGAACTGCATGTAGTAATCCTCGTCCTTGTCCTGAATCTTGCCGACATATGGCGTGATCTTGACATCTTTGACTCGCTTCTCTACGAATGATGCAGCAACTTCTGCCTTAGGCTTACCGATGTCAGTTTGCCGGAACAGGAACTGCCGGTTCAAGTTGGAAATATCAATAGTATCTTTTGGAGTTAGACAACTTGTTGATGAAAAGGCTCATGGCTATAGGAAACACTCACCCATGTCTATAACGTGAATATCCTTAAATCCTGACAAGGCAAGGTTTTTGAGAATTTCGCATCCTAAACCACCCGCGCCACTGTAATCAATTTCATCAGTGACTTGACCATAGTCGTAGACAACAATCACTGACTGACATCACTCTGGTCTCAAGTTAGCAAGCTGATATAATTATCACCTTGTCAATCACGTACAGGATCTTCGATGATTCCAAAGCACTTATCGTCTCTGGACCAGGAACCCAGTCTTCATCGCTGTAAGGACCTGGTTTCGACAAGACCGAGTAAAGGTGTTTCCTGCTTCACGTTAACCATGCTTGCCTTGGACCCTCCAAATTTAATGCATACCACCGAGGAGTGGAGCTTAGAGGTGCCATATTCAGAGCCAGAAGTCTGAACTCGGCAAATAACAGTCACTAGATGCTTGTTGTGATGTTTACCGTAACTGTCTTTGAACTGCTTCAAGACACCTTTTTTGACCGATATCAAGTTATTTGAGCTCACAACCTGGAACAGAGACCTGTCTCCTGTTCAAAATGGGAAAATGAGGTTGATAGCCAGTTGTATCGCGATGAATGAAAGTAAGAAGCCAGGTGCGCTGTTGACTGCTAAGTAACTGGTCCCAGACACACCGCTGCACGTGACTAATCCGCTCCATACAATTTCCTCCCACTTGAGGCATGACCATCAAGTGCCTTTCTAGTTCTTCGAGAGACATTCAGTTATCGAAAATGGAAGCTCTCACAACTGTGAATATAACGACGCGCGATTCCAGGTCGATTTTATCGCCTGCCGCGGAGGGAAATTCCCTTGATGGTCTTCAGAACCGCCAAACTGGGTCAGCAGCCGAGCTAGACAATATTTCAACATCGTCAGATTATATATTGGCGGTACTTAAGTCAAAACCTGATCAGGATACTATCGCTCATGTACTCTCCACACTGGATCCCTCAAACAAAAAGGCTCTTCCTCCAGACTTTGATATCAGGGTCCCCAGCGCAAAGACTGCTCAGATTCTCAATGTCTTAGTGAACGTCACGATTCCCGATCATTGGGAATATCTGAAGGAGACAAAGGGCGCAGCTAATAGACTACGAGGCATGTTCTTGCGATGTTTCAGCAGCGTTGCTGGACTGAGTTGCTTGGTCACTCAGCTTCGTTCTCTGATAACTGCAGCACGAGCAGCACCTCAAAATGCGGAAGGATCGAGTAGTCGTATTCGACTTGCAGAGATTGTGTCGGTCATCTCTGCCCTGCTGAAACCGACTGACTTTGTGTTGCGCCTTTACAATGACATCGGTGCTCTTTACTCTAATGAAACCCAGAAGCAGCTAGCTTGGAAAGAGCTTATTGCTCTTCTTGGTGCCAGCAAACTCCTACCTGCTGCAGCAGAAGCACTGAGCTTGATAAAAGACCTGGAAGGCCTCACGAAGCTCTCTTGGCTTGGTGAAGGAACTCATTATGCTTCCTGGTTGGGGGCAAATATATGTCAAATTGTCTTGAGGATAAATCCTAACAACGACGCGGGTCTGAAAGCAGCTTCTCTTCTAACGGCACGGTCATTGAGTATTGGCTACACAGGTTAAGTTCTACGATCCTTTGGCAACTTGTTCATACTAACTCATTTCAAGATCACCTTGTAAGGGAAATCTATTCGGGCCTTCTACTAGACAGAGCTCTTCCAACACATTTTGACTCTTTCTACGACAAACTTCGGGCAACTGAGCAACTGGCGTTTCTCGAGTCAGTCTTCCGCGACCTGCAGAAGAGGTATTTCCCGGTTAGCATCTCCTACCTGGACTTTGCGAATACGTCCGACCAAAATGTTGAAGGTGTTGCGGCCTTGTGCTCAATCATCATTTCCAAGCGCCCACACCTTGTGAGTCAGCTATCAGACTGGCTTGCAAAAGGTCAAGCTGGCTCAATACATACTGTCGGTCTTCGTCGAGCGCTACTAGCAGCTTTGTCGGATAGAAAGGGTAACGTCTTCCGGGGTGCGCGGCCTCTGAGATTCAACTAATAGATGCTTCCCAGATATTATTCAAGCTTTGCTCTCCAAGAGCCTCGAACAATCTGGCGATAAGTTTTACATCAGACACGCCCCGATGAGCAGTCAAGAAGGTAGTCCGGCGACCCATTGTCCGAATGTCAAAGCTTGCGTTAATATTTTCCAGCAAATGCTCAAGTTGTTCTCTTGGCTGCCGGGTGTCTTCAACGGCTGGATAGCTGTGCAGTCAAGGACGCAGGGCGTTCTAGTATTTTCCTGAGCACCGTCTCGAATCGTTTAGCAGCCTCAGCCTCCAAAGCCCGCCTTCTCGGTATGATCATTGGCACCGCAATTTCGCAACTCATTGAGAAGCCGGGGAAAGCTATGAAATTTGACATTGAAGAAATGGAAAGCGACGAAGCAGTCTCGTATCTGGACCTGGTCAAAAAAGCAGACCGCGTTGGATCTTTAGATCATATCAAAATACCGAAAGAACAATCACCTAACAAGCCTCGTCCGCCAGGTCAAGGACCACCTTCTTCGCGAACTATGGGTGCGCGAGCCTCCAACGCACAGTCGGTCAAGGTTATGTCTATAGAAGAGATCGGGGACTCGGAGAATGATGAGAGCGAAGAGGATGAGGATCTGATACCGTACGAGAAACCTGACGAGGATCCATCAGATTCCGACGATGATCCAACTCTTGTACAACGCAACAAACCGACACCACCAGTGTAAGTTGACAGAACTACATTGTGACGGATACAGACAACTGACTCGAATAGATACATTCGCGACCTGATAGCTGGCTTACGGGATACGGAGAATCTCGAACGATATGGATTGGCCGTGACCACTGCTCCTTCTCTGATTCGACGCAAGACTGGCTTCGGAACTGAGCTGGCTGAGAATGTAGAGGAACTGGCTCTTGTCCTGGTCGGACTGCAGGAGCAGGTTAAACTCCCTAAGTTCCATGAATCTCGGTTACAGAGCATGATTGCCCTAATTGTATCGCAACCGCTGAAAATGGGCCGCTGGTTTGCTGCGGTATTCTTCGATGGAGATTTGTCCCAGACCCAGCGGTCCGCAGTCCTCACGGCGTTGGGTCTAAGTGCTCGCCAATTAGCAGGAAACGGCGAGGAAGATGCTCGCACACTCGGACTGCCAACCTTGCCCGACACTTCCTTCCCAACCAGAAGGCTGCCGGCAAACGTGGAGGACTTATATCTAACCGATGAATCCCCCATCGCGAGTCTCACAAAGACCCTCTCAAAAGCATCCCTTGAACCGCTCGCGGCTCAAGCTGCAGACGCCGCGTCTGGTCCGAATGCACTCAAGGTGCGAACATTTTCGTCACGAATGGAGGTCGAGAAGAAACGTCAGCAGCGAGATGCGCAGCGACAAAAGTCGACGGTCAAGGACCTTCACAAAGTCCTGTCAGAGGGCTTCTTCTATCCTCTAACAGGTCGTTTTGCATTGATGATGACGCAATTTTCCTCGTAAGAGCTCGAGTCTTCCCCATAAATCTGACGGACACCGGAATTGACAAATTTCCTCTATCACAGGTCAACCGCGCCCTCACACAACCCTTTTCTGATCCCGCATCTCCTCTGTCTCTTCATCCAGACACTGACACTCATCCTCTCGACCATGGGGCCCCACAACCCGTACCTTCCTAATCTCACTCAAGAGACTTTGACTTTCCTCCTTTCACTCTACACACGACCGCTTTCGGAGGACCCTTCGATCGTCTCCGCACTGCTCTCGCTGTTCCTCGCCGTACTGGACTTGAACGTGGCCTCAGGCTCCTCCGGCGAGGAACGACTCGTCACGGAATTTGCGACTCAAGTAATCGAGTTGCGGGAGTGGGCTGGGTCAGTCTTTGATCGAACTCCGGCGGCACAGGGAGTGGATGACCCTCGGGAACAGGTCAGACTATTGGCTGCAGGGGTCATGGTGAAATTGGGCGAAATAACGGAGAGATACCAAGGGCGGTTAATGGGGGTCAACTCTGGATTTAAGTATTAGATCTAAGTAGTCCATATCTATACGTCTGAAAATGAAGAAAGTACTCACGCGTTGAAGGGTGCCGGGACAATTGGGCAAGTCAATATACATAGGCTATCGATGATCGTAAACAGCATTTCGTGGTTTACGTTGACAGAATGGTTATTAAATTAGTCCGTATACAGGACACTGGCCGCGCCGAATTTGCCAGTCCGAAAACATGCCTCTCATCCCTCGGTCTTCGCAAAATTTCCCTTCTCGATGGCTGCATCCATCATTCGGTCGCCGTTGATGATGCTCGTTGTGCAAATGACAATCCTCCGTCGCGGGCCTCCTGAGCTGCGATGAATCGTAGTGCCGCAATCTCTGTGAAGGTTGCTCCACCAAGGAGGAATACGTACACAGTCTTGGTGGCATTGTTGCCGCTCAGCGTCTGTCGCGCACGAACTGCCTTATCGTCACCCTTCTGAACGATGCTGAACGTCGCGCCACGGGCACTCTTTACTACGTCCTCGAATCCGAGCCAGCCGGGGGATGCAGTGCTTGCAGGGGTGGAGGTAGCAGAGGCAGCACCGCCCTTGACCAGTGAGAATATATAGGGCTTCTGCAGAATGCATTGGACTAGACGAATGCTGAGGGGAGCAAAGCCGCTGTATACGTAGGCAATGTCGTTGGGGTCCTTTTCACTGACTTCTTCCACCAGCAGGCGTAGGTTCTTCCGTAAGTAGTTATAATTTGTCTTAGTGCCTGGCTGAGCACCAGCAGTCGGGATTAGCATGGTGGCGGCCGAGGAACGGGGCTGCAGGAGCTCCATTTTCTCCAAGGCAGAAAAGGTCAGTATGTGCTGATGTCCGTAGGCGTGGACAATTTGCTTCTTGAAATTCTCGAGATCTCGGGAACGAAGTCCGCCTGACATGCACGACTCCAGGCACAGCAGACGGAGAACAGTCTTGAGAGGCACATCCCTGGCAATCAATTCTTCGATGGCATCATGTTGATACGTTGGGTCAGTGCCCGCGGCATTATTTTGCTGGACTTCAAGAACTTTGCGAAAGATATCTGAGCGCGTGTTTCTCATTATCTCTTGGGCAAGGTTCGTGTGAACGCGAAGACTTTGGTGCTCCAATTGATAAGTTGGCAGTTTATTCACGAATTCACGTAACTCTGAAGCCGTCTTGGCCGCATGACGAGTCTCATACTCGCTTTCTAGACGCCGGGCCACCTTATTCAGAATATCGCCGACTATGGCAAAGTTTGCATCACGCACTTGGCTAAACAGTTGATCAGAAGAGTCCAGTTGAATCTTCCGCTTCTGTCCCTGCTTTAGGGTTTGTTGAGGAGCCTTGGAAGACTCCTGCGCCTGGGGAACAGAGTTGGCTCCAACGATAGCCGTATCAACATCTGCCTGGTTATTCTTGATTCCGACAAACTCATCAATTAAGCCCTCGTACGTGAGCTGCGTCAGCAGGGGAGTGCCAAAGTCCACCTCCCGGTCAATAATGATCAGGCTCTCGGTACTCGCGCTGGGCAGAAGTCCTCTTGAAGAAGGGTCCGCCAAACCGGAGCTCTCTTCAGCATCGAGCTCCTTTCTCATCCGCAACAGTAGGTCTGCGAGTCGGCGCGCGTGATCTCCCTTCCCAATGATTCGAGGAAAATAACCTTGTCTTTGCTGAATATCCATGAGAGCCTTCGCGGCGAGGAAGATACAACCTGGATCTTTATGCTGCGTGATGATAAGCAAATGGTTTGCAGTGAGACAATTTTCTGGTTCTTACCAAGTAGAGGTCACCGAAGGAGTCGTCCAATTCCAGGGAAAGGACATCTTGTTCGAGAGGTACAAAATACAGGGGAAGCTCGGCGATATTCACATCGCCAATGATTCCTGCGTCTTCCAGGACCTTATTGCTTACAAATGTTCGTCTTGGTACCCAAAATATGGAAAATTCATGCTCAACATTGCCGTTCTGCTGTAGACGCTTGATTTGCTCTATAGAGAAATGTCAGCTCATTCTGATGGCATTCTATCGGACATTTCGGAGAAAGAAAGCCTTAGGGATGAGCTCCAGTAGTAGCCCTCTTGAGGACATGGATTGTTTTGATATAGGGAACTTGACTGACTACGTAGAGTGTAGATGATTCTGCGTAATCTACTGATGTCCCATGTGTCCTGGCCCCAAAAGGGGGCCAGACAGATAATGCAGGCAATAGTTTACAAGAAATAGAGCCGGGACGACATACCTGCTGCTGTTTGCACCTGGCGTATCTTCTCGGCATGGATTAGGAAGACGACATTGCGTTGGGATGAGTCAACATTGGCATTCTCGAGCAGAAAGACTCGATCTACGCCGTATTCCTGGAGTTGGGAGAATTTGACGAAGATCCCAACTGGGCCTGCCAGATTTTGGCTGATGACAAGATTCTTCTTACCACGCACCTGCCCGTGTAGTTCTGATTTAGCTCAAGTTCGGCTTCCCGTAACATCGATGCTGTTGAGAAGGGGACGACCAGGAAGGAGCCTCACTCACGCCTTCAAGGAGGGTCAACAAGTCCCTCCGCGCCTTGTCCTTGATATAGTCAGCATCAGACCCAGGATATGGCGCCATGGTTGCTGTGGAGCCTCCCAGACGTGGTGGTTTCTCAGCAAACCAGAGAAGAAAATAGACAGAGAGAACAGGAGTACGGTTGCAGCTGTTTCTGAGGCATCAAATTTGGCTCAGCCATCCCAGCTAACCATGATTGGATTAGCTCTGATCACCGCCTCTCCCTCCGCCACAATACGTGTCTCATACACTATTACCACATAGTTTAGAGGAGCATCCCCAGCATATTTATGTATTGCTGTATTAGTATTACGGCTTTCGGTCTCGACTCCTCCCCCTCAATTTAGATTATTTGCCTGAAACTCCCCTGAATGTGTCAACTACATTTTAACATCTTCTCAGCCTTTCATCCTCTACCCCTTCTTATTTAGACTGTTGTGGACACTCCCATTGTCTTTTTTGCTTTCTCTGTCCTGTCTAGCATTTCCTCTGATACCCTTTTCAGTCCTACACCTCCCTAGCAATCCGCAATGGGCTTGTTCAAGAAGTCCGGCGACGATGATGACTCGTCCAACCGCCGCGCCCTCTTTGGTTCCCGATCCAAGAGCAAGAGCCCAGCTCCTCCTGCGAACCCGTATGCGAAGCCCGCCCCAATTGACCCGTATACCAGAGCCAAGATGAACGCTGGAGTAGCCCCTCTTCCGCCCTCCGAACAGCCTGCTGGACCAGGCTCGATGAAAGGACGCTCTCCCATCGGCACCCCTGCACCTGGAGGCATCCCAGGCGATAACAAGATTCAAGGCTATGCTCCCAACCAATATGGCAATCAAGGCGGATACGGTGCAGATCGATTCGGTAATGCTGGTGGCGCATCGGCCTCCCGATACGGTCCTGGTGGCTATGGAGGATTAGGCAGCACCGATCCGAATGACCCCGCTGCAGCAGACAAGGACGCACTTTTTGGAGGAGCCAGGGACCGGGTACAACAACAGCAACAGAATGGTCCTCCACCTCCATACTCAGAACCGAACAATGCTTACGGCGGTGGAAGCAATGAGTACAACACTTCCACGTATCAGGAGAGACAGCTCACTGCGGAAGAAGAGGAAGAGGAGGAAATTCAGAACATTAAGCAGGAGATGCGATTCGTCAAGCAGGGCGATGTCGCATCCACTCGCAATGCTCTGCGCGTCGCCGCGCAGGCTGAGGAAACCGGCCGCGAAACGCTTGCCCGCCTTGGTGCCCAAGGGGAAAGAATTCATGACACCGAGAAAGCCTTGGATGTTGCGACTATCGAGGGCCGACTTGCTGAAGAAAAGGCAAAGGAGCTGAAAACTCTCAATAAGAGCATGTTCGCGGTTCACGTGTCAAACCCATTCACTAGCGCCAGTAGACGACGGGAGCGGGACGAGAAGATCATTGAGACCCATCGTGCTGAACGGGCAACTCGGGAAGGCACGCGCAATGAGGCATTTCAGACCAACCAACGAATGGAGCGCACATTCAGGGAGATTGAGAGGGAAGCGGGTAAACCACACGGCAAGGGCAGGACGAATGTCACGGAGCGTGCCAAGTATCAATTCGAGGCGGACAGTGAGGATGAGGCTATGGAGGATGAGATCGAGCAGAATTTGGATCTTCTGTCCGGTGCTGCAAGTCGCCTGAATGGACTTGCTCGTGCCACAGGCCGCGAACTTGACGAGCAGAACAGACACCTAGAGCGGATCATGGGCAAGGTGAGTGTTCCTGCTTGCTTCTCTTATGCCTGGAGACTTACTGACATTGCTACAGAGCGATTTCGTTGACGATCAGATTGCTATGAACCGGGCCAAGCTGGACCGTATTCATTAAGGCTCTGCTCGTCTATTTTCATATTTAGTCGTGCGGATGCACCCGTAGGCCGCCTGGTGCAGTCGACGTCGGTTGATGATTCACATCTTGATCTATATGTTTTCTGTGCATATCATTTTCTAACATTTCTCGGCGTTCTCGGCTTTGTGGCCCGTTGGAGCATCCATATTCAGTATTCGAGCTAGCTGTATATTCGCGAGACCGATCACTCTGATTAATAGAACCCATCAATCTAATTACTACCTCGAGGAACGATTTGTTGATTCCTTCGTCGGAGCTGTTTGAATAACGTCCTGTCCTGGGATGCGAGCCTTGCATGTTTGATTGTCTTTCGAAGGTGGTCCGCTACATCGCGACGCCCCAAGGATGAGATGTATGCCTAACTATTGTTTTCTATAGCCAATACGCAGATCCATACACGGCCTCGCACCGGATGGTCACAGTATTCTATAACCATGTGACATTGTTTCAGTGCACAGAAGATTATCAACCCATCGCATGTCAAAGTCTAGGCCATAAGCTGCGTTGTCTTTTCCACGGCTGACCACTATCTTTCGTCTATCTACTCCTCCTCTATGACCAGCACCGGATCCGCAGTTCATTCGAGAGGCCCCCTGAGCACAATAGGAATGTATACAATCCGTTTTCAACACGAATAGCCACAACCTTATGCTGCAACGCAATCTGTACCCCATAGTCATACTCGCCTACAGAGGGCAGGGTACAGACTATAGTACCACCACACCTCCTCACTCTGCATGACCAACAGCGTCATCAAGAATCAATCTTGTAAATGGAGTAATCTACCCCTCCTAAACCCCAACCACACCAATACTCAAATACCTACACTGCGTCCCATCCACCGAGCATACCGCCGCCAACTGGTCAACCCCTCTTTGCCACTGCACCCGATGCCAAGCATATCACAATGCAGGAGACAGAGGATGTGCCGCGTAAGCCATTCCCCACTGCTCTTGTCATGTGCGGGCTTGCGGTCTTGGCAGCCGCCCCTGATTTGAACTGCCCTTGAAATTATTATCCCTGATTGGGTCATGACCGTGGGCATTCCAGTCGTCATTGCAGTTGGAGTTCTTCTCGCATTCATGATTGGTCATGAGTACCTGATGGGCTCCCACCCCGTCTCCCAAGCCAGATTGAGCAGGCCAAGAAGGAAGTTAGGGAAGAAGTTGGGCAATCATTGCCTAAAGAGGTGATGAGGCTCGAGCGTCGAGGGCCTGATGGGGGAAGGTTTTGCTTGTGGCTTTTTCTTTACTCCTTTTTGAGGTTGGAGGACAGGACCCTTGGAGCTGAGACAGCCGGATAAGGTACCTATGGAGTATGGAGTACGTACTACGTACTCCGTAGCTCTAGCAAAGCACGAATCATTATGTTGAGCCTGATCTGATGTTCACTGGTTCTGACTCGCCATTTTGGGCCAGGAAAACTGCTCCTCTAAGAGTAAAACAGGGGCAATGCTGCTGTGAGAGACGGAGTATCTAGTTAGACCACACCATGGGTCATACGTCGCCTGCGTTGAGTATTCCTTGCTATCTCTCACGTACGGTCAATTGGATATTGTCGCCGAAAGAGTGTACGTACTCTCTCTTTACAGAGACGGATTTGAGTGGCCAAGTCTCATTCTTCTCTATATGTACTCCGCAAAGCAGCATGCATTGTACCTACATGAAAGCCTGCAGTGGAATAATAACATTGACGTACATACATACATACATACCTACCTACCTACATGCATACCTATTACTTACCTCCGGAACGTACGTCCAACTGTAAGCACAGTCCTAGAGTCCTAGCAAGATAGCAATTATCGTGGAACCTACGTGCAGCACAATCCCTACCAAGTACGCACCCTTCGTCGGTGGTTAACTTGTTATGGAGAATTGTCCGGTCTACGATCTATGGCTCCCTCTCGTGTTCCTCCTTTAGCATTCAAGGGTACGACAACTAGCAAGGAATTTAATTCCGATGAGTTCTTATGACGAGAGGTTATTGTTGCCTTTAGTAAAAAGTAGCACAAGTTTTTGAGCCATGGTCTCAGGTTTATGTGAGGTTGCAGTAGATACTCCGTACACGGAGTAAACAAGTAACTTTCGAAATCTCTTCGACTATGCAATTCTTATGGCACTAAGGACCTCCTTTCATAGCCTTCGCATAGAATTGGCTATTGAGTCATCGGCAGCAGTACGCTGTAGCACATGCTCAATAATGCCAGAGCATGGCAGCCGTCCAAAAGAATCTTCTCCGAAATGTCCAGCCAATGACATAGGCCAAGGAAGTCTGCTGTCCCACATTTCTGCACACTGGGATAAGTGATTAGTACTACTCCGTACGTACTCTCACTCTTGGTCAAACTGCTGCCGAGGAGTGTTCTGAGAAGCTTGTTTCTAGTTCAGGGGTTGTCTCAATATAGCGACCTCTTGTGTTGAGTCACGGTATGATTATGGAGTAGTTGTTGGAGATAATCAGTAGCCTGCAACAGAAATACAGGGATGCTCATCCTACACGACTCAACGCCTGTCGTAATTGGGAATGCCGAGCTGGTTGAATACAAGACATACGAGGTCATACTCGCGAAGTTTGACTCGGCTGCATCTTAGTTACTATGAATTAGCCTACTTTCATCCCAGGTAATTAACAATCTTGGGTTTAGATTACAGTTCCCAAGTTTTCCATCAGAAGGGAACCCCATGACAGCTATGGCTAAGTAGACATGGCGACAGGTAATGTACTCCGAGTATTTCCCTCTCTCACTAGTTCACTAGTATTGGCCACCTCGCAATGCTAACTGCAACAGTAATCCCATTTCGGCAGGCCCCAAGTCCGAACTCAAAATCGACCAGTCCGTTGGTGCCCAGTGGGCGGAAGACGAAGACCGAGATTGATGCCAAACTACTCCGTAGAGCCCGTCTGAATTTCTGAGCTAAAGCTCTGGAAGTAAGCCTGTATCCATCTGGCTTAGCCTCTTCCGTCCTAAGTCATCCTCAACCTCAAGTCGCGACAGGCCAAGAAATCAGCCGGCGTGTTTCAGAATGCAGCTAGGCGCAATATCCTCAAAGTAGTAGTGAAAGTGGGGCCAGCCAGGATCGCACGCAGGGTTTTAGGTAAGGCAAACGGGCTTTGCGGGGTTCTAATCCAACAAATGGTGGCCGAGATTTGAATTTGACGCACTGTGATCAAAACATTCTGCAGTTGAACCTCTCTCTACTCTTTAGCTAGCTACTTCTTCAGGATTTAGCAACTTTGTCGAAGTATATACATTTTGACACTCTACAAGGTATTTCGATGACACTTGGAATAGAAATCAATCCGTCTCTAGCCGTACAGTACTGAGCAATTAGGAAACAAGACATACAAGCTCCATGCTGACATCTCGTAAGCTAAGGTAAGGTAAGGTATTCAGGTCCTCATTCCCGATTGGGCTGGCATGCCAAAATAAGGAAAGCACCAAGATGTGCACGCGTCAGCTCTTGTGGAGCTTTCAATCTCATTGGTTTGTAATTTAAATGCCAAGCTCGGCTATCGACTATCTGCCGTCTCTGGGGGAGCTTGGCTGCAGTGGCTGCATGCCACCCTTGCCTGCCGTCAGGGAAAACCAAATCACGAAATAAAAAAAAGATATTTGCAAATTGCGAATTTAAATTTTGAGAGTGGGGTTTCTAATACCTGCTAGCACTGTCTTTATCTTAGACCAACGCTAAACCATGTGTGGTGATCCTCATGGTTCAGGCAGGTTGGTTCCGACTACTACGTACTACGTAGCCTATTAGATTTTGATTAATCTGCAGATTGATTAATTCTTCATTGTTCTTTTTGTTGCCAAGGGACATCTTTTTGCTTCACTAGTTATCAGAATCAATAGTTCCATAACACAGAGTATGAAAACACTTTTGCCTTCAACCTATCTCCTGCTCTGCGTCCGCAAGGTCCTTTCGTGTATCACAGAAGGTTTGCCTTTGCCCGCTCGATTCAGGAATAAGCTCTTTCTACTTGTGGTTAGCAATATTTTGGCTCAGACAGCAGGCGGGATGAACCACAATTTGCCCCTTTGTGTGTAGTTCCCTGACCTGAATAATGGTACACTATGCCCAAAATTGCAAAAGAACACCAGATAGAACGCACAGTCATCTTCCATCAGTTCTAGCTACCTTGGCACTGGCCCCATCACATCTTCGGGGATCATTTGAAAAGTGTTTCCCGTTCGGGCTTCTTTGAGGACTCTGAAGATTTGGATGTGGGATTTTGCACCCGGCTGCTCTGGGTCCGAGATTTTGGACTTTGGAGTGAGTTGTGAACTCCTAAAGGCTTATGAGGCTTTTCGTATGTCAAAATCCACTTGACGCTTGGAGTCTGAGAGATCTGAAATCCAGACTGGCGTCCATAACGCCCTGTCAGCTGCGAGGCATTGTCAATCATGACGATCTGCCGGTTGCAAAACATGGATTTGCCCCTCGTGCAACTGACACTGACTGGTAGATAGAACTTTTAAGGCTTCAAACCTCCACGAAGGATATGCAAACCCGTTGCTTGAGGTCGCTTGATATGGAGACGATTTTCTGATTTGCCTGGAGAGTCTAATCCTGTCGGCGACCTCCAGTTCGCCCCTATTAGCTACAGCCGATCGGCAGATGCACCTTATCAAAATCATCATTGGAATACAGCACACCAAGGATAGAACATAAATAATCGAATTGACCCCGTAGGTATCCGAAACTCGTAACGATCCTGGATATGAGGTGAAGATGTTACGCTCCTCGTCCTTGGTCCAGTGGCCCTTTCATAGGCTATTCCAATAGTGCATGATAGGTCATTCCTCGACGGATGAATTAATTATTATCAGATCCCTTAACAGCGTAGGCTGTAGCTGGTCAGTGCAGTAAGACTGACAGTGGGACCATATGTGTCGAATACCCCTTCTCAGTGGCTTAATATCTAGTGATCCTGAAAAGCTCTGTCTGCTTCAGAGTAAACCATACTAAATGTTTGCATGCATCCTTAGGTAGACTCCTTGTTCACTATGTTCATTAAGCTTCAGGATAGGGCTATTATTGGGGTTTACGGAAATCATCCGTAGTTGCAACAATATCACACTGCAGAAAGTGGCTGACTCCTGGCCTCTAAGGTCGAGCGTCAGGAATCAATCCCGGCTCTTCAGCATTCAGCATGGGTAATTAAAATTAATTAGCTGAGATATTATTGACTTAAGTGGCAGGCATTGAACCCCAGACTCAGCAATAGCTTCGTTGGGTGACCCGGCTTGCTGTAGCAGCAAGCCACAAAAGTTGGAATCTGAGACTCTGGAGTCTCTGACAGGGACCCCTGAACCAAATACTTCTTGAATTAGGAAAGCAGGCCAGTGAGAATAGGGACTGTTTGATACGAGTTTGTTCGTTTTGACAGATCATATTCCTACTCAACTGCCTC